AACAGGCTCTTAGTAATTGTAATATGGGTTCTCTCCCTACCGAATCAAGAAAAAAACCACCAAGATGTCAGTCTTGTAAGGTCTTCAAAATACTCCTTAATGCATATTAAACTGGATCACACCCTGCTTGAAAAAGTCTCTGAAATGAAACAAGCAGGAAAGTATTATAACTTCTAATAGAAAACTATTAGAGTTTCAAGTTATCCCATAATGTTCAACAGAAAAAAACATTACAGTTTGGGAAGGGTGCAACTTCCTACGAAAGGATTCCTCCCTAGGAGGGATATAAAACTTTAACAGTGCTTTGCTTAGGCTATGTAGCTAGAGACATTCTGCAATAGATAAGCTAAAAACTCTTCTTGAAAACTAAATTTCATCCACACATGAGTCCTGGAGCTGGCATTTCCCTTAACTAAGTTATAGGATAGCTTTGACAACATGGCTGTGACTCAAAAGGACAAAGCCCAGCAGCACAAGTAAATGACATAGTAAAATATTTACTGTAACAAGGTAGGAACATGGGTGGGAAGGGGGGCAATGTTCCATGTTATTTTGTGCTTGGATCACAGCGGAGCTGTGTGTAAAAAATATTTATAATGAAATACTGCTCCCTTCCTTGGAAACAACCAAGTGGATTCAGAAGCTCTGGGGGAAGAGCATTATTAAATACACTCAGTAACTGGGTTGATCCTCATGGCTTTTGATCTGTGCTTTATAGATCTGTGGTAGACTCTGAACTCCTTCAAAGAGATCCATAAAAGGATAACCCAGAAAAGCAACCTCAGCTGTGTAAACTTGTAAGGAAGGCCCTGTAATTCCCACCTTTCCAAAGGGGTTCACACCTTCTCTGGAACATATCTAGAAATGGTAATAAAAAAAAAAAAAAAAGGAAGCTGCTAGACTATTCTAAAAGGACTTACTAGATCCCAGCACAAATACTACTAAGCAGTTGTAGTGTATTTCTAGAAGGTTAAATAATCTTCTCTCCTTTACACTCTTGCCCCCAAAGGAGGCATCCACATAATGAGAAAGGATGTTCTGTGTGTTAATTCACTTGGAAATGTCCCAGTGTGGACTCAGACAGTTTAGTTTTATTGCCACATCAAAAGGTCAGGGTGTTAGCTTGCATTAAAATCATAATTTCATTGTCTGCAGAAGGATTTTATCACACATTAGCTTCTGGGGAGTTTTTCTGTACTGCTGAAAACTTATGGGAGATGTTGCTGGCGGGGTGGAGAATGCTTATGGGACCCGGTGCATTTTCCACCACTGATGCAAAACCACAAATACCGTGGCACGCAAGCTGTGGCAGTTCACATCAAAAGGTGTGGCAAAATGAGCACTGCAGTCATTAAGGTCTTCGTGCTGAGACCTATTAATGGCAGACCTGATCTATTCAGTTTTTAGCTACTACTCTGTAGTATTTTCCTTTCACCATCCGCAATGAAATTTATTCCTGATGCACCAGAACTGCTTTCCTACTTGGAGGCTGGTTGCTACCAAGCCCTAATTTGACATCCGTGAGGAGGGGAGGTTTTTTTAGGGAACAAGATACTTTGTCTCTCCTCTCTTGTGAGCACCTCCATAAAGTGTCATTTCTTTTTAACAAGTTGTCTGTGATAGGGTTTCAACTTTGGCAAGTCAGTGAAAAGCCAGAGGTTACAGTTAGGTCAAGTTTGCTGAAATTCAGGAGACCACCTTCTTTCTGTAGTGGGTGGAGTGGGAGATGCATGTCCAGACAGCAGGGTGTATCTTGCTGGTGGACTTCAGTGGAGATCAACTAACAGCTACCTGCACATCTACTTTAAGTGTCCCAAATTACAACATAAATTAGATTTCTTGAAATAAGCTGGTGCAGTATAGACAGTTGACAAAGATTGTTTCTAAGTCCCCATGGGCTTGAACAAATCACAAAATCACAGTGATTTGTGTTTTGTTTTGTGTTTTGGTTTTTTTTTTTTTTTTTTTTTTAACACCCCTTTTGAGTCACAACTAGCAGATTTTCTTCATGATAGGGACTAAAACAGGGATTTTGCAGACCTGAGAAGGCTGGGTGGCTGCAATGGCCATCTCACTGCTTTAGTTAAAGTTTGCAGGAGTCATTGTCCCCACTCCACCAGGTGCTGTGTGCACCTGCAGTTGAGAGGTGGCCCCTGCTACCCAAAACTTGTGACCCTTTTAAACTGCTGATAGCAACACTACTGTAACTTCTCTGACTTTTCTGGGAAGCGCTGCTTTTCCTCTTGCTCTTTAAAATGGCAAAGCTATGAGAAGGTAAGCACCAAAACCTGGCTATTGTGCTTAATTACTATAATATGTATTTGGAGGCAAAAAACCTGTGTTTACTCTTTAGTAGTGTTACACTTGGGAAAAGAAAAAGCAGAAGTGGGGAAAAACAAATGATTATGAGGTGGATTTACTTGAAGGCAGCTGCAGCTTCTCTTTGTGCTGTTTTGCAGCATGTCGTGCTCTACGCTGCAGGAGAGGAGAGGGAAAGGACCAGTTGTTTTTCATCAGCAAAATGGCTGCAGGTGCCCTGCATTGAGGTGAGGGCCTGCCTCCACACGCAGCCCCTGCTGTGGATGTTTTAAGGAGAAGCGTGCTCTCAAAGAATTGCTAAGTAGACAGTGCTGTGGGATTTGGTTGCTTTTTTTTTGTTGTTGTTGTTTATTTATTTATTTATTGGGATATTTATCAGGAAAACTCTGTGACCCTTGAGCAATGTTACCAGTGACTGGGAGGCATGCCTGGCACTGAGGGTAAGCTTCAGCAGCATCTCTTCATAGTGAAGGGGGTTTCAGGGTGGGTGCTGCTGCCCTGGGGCTCGGTGGCACCCCGAGGGGCGGTGGCGGCCCGGCCTGTGGGAAGCTACTGGGCAGGGGACAGGGCTGTGCGTGGAACAACATGGAGGCTGCTCTCAGCGGGAGGGAGGCCGGTTTTCTGTTAAGATAAATTTTGCCGTGGTTAAACACGCTGCAGAAATGGGGGGGGGGGGGATGAGAAAGGGACCTCAGGGAAGGTTTCTGCTATGAAGGCCCAGGAGCTGGGTGCCTTCATGGGGCGCAGCTGGGTGCAGGCCATCCTTGCCGGGCGAGATGGGTGAGGGGAGGTGGGGTGACACCCTCCCACCCGTGACGCGGGGCGTCGGTGGGGCGCGGGTGGGTCGGTGGGCTGATGCCACAGGGAGAAGCGGGGGGGAGGACACACACAGCATCCCCGCTGCCCTGAGGCGGGCGGAGCCCTCAGGCCGCGGCGGGAGCGGGGCGGGGCGGGCGCGGGAGGCGCGCGGCGGGGCCGTGTTTACATTCCGGCGCCCGCTGCACGTTGTCGCGGAGCGGCGGGCTCCCATTGGCGGGGGCGGGAGGAGGCCCCGCCCCGGGGCGGGCTGTGCCCTGCCGGGCGCGCGGCGGCCGGGGCCCGCCGTCCTGGGGCCCGGTGGAGCGGAGGAGGGTGACGGTGCCCGTGCCGGGGGGGCGCCCCGCCAGCGCGGCGGGGGAGAGGAGCCGGGGCAGCGGCGTGCGGGGCGGCTCTCGCAGCGGGGCGGCGGCGGCGGCGGCCCTCCTCCCGGCGCTGCCCGCCGCTCTCCCGGGATGCCTCCGGCCGAAGGGAGCCGGGGTGGGCGAGCGGGACTGTCCCGGCGCCGGGCGGGGGAAGGCGCTGGGCCCGGGGCGGCCCCGCGGCGAAGGGGCGGCGCTGGGGCGAGCGGGGCGCGGGCGCTGGCGGCGGGCGGGGGAGCTGTCTGCCGCCCTCGCACATGCGCAGCGCGGGCCCGGGCCGCGCTATATAGCGACTTGGCGCCGGCGCCAGCTGAGCAGCGCGGCCCGGGCGGCGGCGGCGGAGGTGCGCGGGGGTCCCGGCGGGAGGTGGGGGGGGGGGCGGCGGTGATGGTGGCAGTGGTGGCGGCGGTACCGGTAGACCCGACGCGGGTGTGAGGGGCACAATCGCAGCGGGAGCGGTGAGGCGGGCTGCCCGCTCGGGCACCGTTTTGGAGGGAGAGCGGCTGAGGAGAGCCGGGAGGGGGAAGGGGGGAGTGCTGGGGGAAAGCGGGGGGGTGTTTGTGCCTGCTTGCGGCCCCATCCGCTCCGTCGTGCTCTCCCGCCCGGGGCAGGGAGCGCTGCGGGGCGAGGGGCGAGGGCCCGGTCGGGCACCGCCGGTGGGAGGCAGCGCGGGGTGTCGGCGAGAGCCCGCCATCGCCTTCCACCACCCTCCCCCCGCGTCCCCCACCTCGGGGCTACCCGGTGGCGGAGAGCCCCGGGGGGGGGGGTGGGGGGTGGCGGGGGGAAGCGGAGGGCGGGCTGCCGGGTTTTGGAGGGAGACGGGCGCGGTGGGGGCAGGGAAGCCGGCCGAGCCGCTTGGCGGGCTGACCCCGATCGCCGGCCCGCGCCGCCCGCCCTCACCCCACCCCGGCGGGTCCCGGCTCCCCTGGCCCTCAGGGAAGGGGTTTGGCGAGGAGGATGCCTGGTGGGGACCCCCCCCCCCCCCGCCTCACAGCCCCCGATTCCCGCCGTGCCCCGGCCCCAGCCCGCGCTGAGGAGGGGGTGTGTGTGTGGTATCCCCCGTTGTGGGGGTGTCGCCTACTGAGAGGGGGTGCCCGTCCCCGCAGCCCTTCCCCCTCAGGTTTTGGAGGGAGCCTCGCTCGCAGCAAGGCGGGAGCGCGGGGGCCGCGGTCCTGCCCTGCTCCCTGCCCCCTCAGCACCCCGCGACCGTGGCGGGGAAGGGAGGCCGGCGGCGGAGGCTCGGCCCCTTTTGGAGGGAGAGTGAGCGCGGGCGGCGGCGGTGGTGCCCCCCATCCCAAACCCCCCCCCAGCCCAGCCTGACCCCCGGGGCTGGCCGAGGCGCCCCCCCGGCCCGGCACGGCTCGGCTCGGCGCAGCGCAGGCCGCCGCCTCCCCGCTCTCTGCAAATTGGCGCGGAACCGGCGCGGCGGGAGCGCGGGCGGCCCGGCTCGGCTCGGCACGGCCCATCCCGGCAGGTGGGGGGGGGGCGGCGGCGAAATCGCCCCGGAGGGAGCCGCTGCACCGGCAAAGCGTGTGTCTCTGCGGGTGCCTGGTGCCTGCAGGGTGTAGAGGGAGTGTTGGGGGGGGGGGGTCATGGCCCCAAGGATACACCCCCCCCCCCATTTCCCCTCCACACACCCCGGGCTAGACGAACCCCGCCAGCCTGAGCCAAACTGACCACTGGCACACGTGAGCATCCCTGCGTACCACTGTTGAGCGGTAACCCCACGCAGCAGGACCTGGAGCTGCGTGTGGTTATGCACCTCAGGCGTTCCTCACACCAGCGGAACGCTTGTGCCCTTCGGTTGTGTGAGCCACGCCGCTCTTTGTGATGTGTCTTAAGAAGCAAAGTACGGAACTTGGTCCTGACTTCTTGAGGATACATTACCTGATGTTATGTTATTCCTTTGATCCAGGTAGAGATCTCACAACCCAAAGAAGATGTCAAGGCGCAGGTAAGCTGTTAGCATCGTAATATACCAAGGTTACCTGTATTCATCTTAACAACTGCTGCTCTCCTAATGTCTGATGTCTTTTTGCTCTCTGCAGTAGCCGTTTGCAAGCCAAGCAGCAGCAGCCACTGTCATGTCAAGAAGAGTCTCCACAAGAACTGCAGGCAACAGAACCTCTCCAGACCAGAAAAAGGAGAACAGCAGAGGTGACCAATGTGGGCAATTCGAAAAGTTGAATAGAACTGAAAGTTCTCCAGTGCATTTGAAGGGGAGAATCTCTACTCAGCTGAGTTAGAAAGTGGGGCAGAAGTAGTAACAGTTTGCTTTAGTGTTAGAGGTGGGTGTGATGGTTATTGTCAGTGTATTGATGTATGTTTCTCTTCTCAGCAGGAGATTAAGAAAAGAGAAGATGGGAAAATTGCTAAAAAACATCAATATGAGATTAAGGTAATTCAGTCCTGTATACTGGTTCAAATTAGTTGAGGGAGTCTATCTGGTTTATGTTGGTGGGTGTGGAGTTGTGCATTCCACACTAGAAAGTATTGAATAGGGGAAGTTTCTACCTTCAGATATTAAAAACTCTGGCAGCTCAGCACCTTTTGGTATGTTTGGGCTTTTTTATGCACTGCTCTGTTGCAGACAAAGGGTCCTTCAATGTGGAAACCACTGCAGAGTAAGGTTAGGTGTGAAAATGAGAATAAACCCGGATATTCCAGAATAATTCCATATGCAGAGCAGGTAAGGCCTAGAGGCGAGTCTAAACAAGATTATTGCACTTGTTTTCACTTAAGGTGTGGTTTAGTTAAGAAGACTCATGACCATGCCCTCCTTACTTTCATTTAACTGTTCTTTTGATTATTTAAATCAATTTAAGTATCTGTTTAACTAACATAGGCTACTCCTTTACCAAGTGAGGCGCTTTAGAGTTGTTTATTTTGAAGTGGATTAGTAAAACAATGTAACTTTCTCTTGCAAACAATCTTGTTTGCAGTTATTCTGTTTGTAAAACAAAGGAGACTAACAGCTATGGTGAAGCAAAACTTTGTGCAGGGAAAAATGCGGTGTAAGTACCTCAGCTGTACTTGGGGTGAAGCTGTATGTCACAACTTACTTTTGCTGAAAGGAGGAAATACTGCTCCTGGGTCTCTCCTTAATAACCGGACATGCAGTCTATCCCCTGCTTTGCTCCATTTTGGGTTCTCTTTAAATGAAGCAGTACACGGGTTCATCTTGCTAACTAGGCACTACAAAATAATGTTCTGCCAAGTTAGTGAGTTAAATCAACCCAGCAGAGGGTCTGACAAGAGTTGAAGCTGGAAAAAGAAGGAAGAGGTGAGACTTGGACACTGAGGATCACATGAAATCAGGAGGAGCAGGATCTCCCTTTTCTTGTAGCTGTGTGCTGTTAAGATCAATTCTGATGGAACATGTAACTTCACTCTTAGGGTACTTTAGTCTGGCTGTAAGTAGGTTTAGACATATCTAGCTTACCTTGCGAAATGGCTATACAGGAAAAGTTTCTGTGTTCAGGGGCAGGTGTTGCTATTCTTTGTGAATGGGATCCCCTCCTGACTCTGAGTGTAATCAGAGTTCTGTGTCACCATTTTGAAGGCTGTCAGACATTACAGCATTGCATATGCTCCATACATTTGGTACCTCCTTACTCGTATTGGTTATGTACAACCAAATAAGTATTAGTGAAACAAGTTACAGAGTTAACTAAAGTAATCTCAAATTCCTTCTCTGAAGCTTTCTGCATGCATAACTTTGTGCTCTTTACCTTTTGAGTCATCGCATCCCATATTTGGCATTGGCAAGCTGAGAGATAGTTCACAGCTGGTGCTTCCTCAGTGAGTATCTAGCTCTGGAGCTGAGATGGGTGGCTCCTCTCTGGAGTGCTTAATTGGAAGATAAGTTGCTGAATTTCCACTGAAAGACAGTAGAACCTCCACCCTCTCCTTTCATTTCCCTCTGAGTAGATAAGTAGATAGGACCAGCAACCTCATGTCCTGGGTTTTAGTAGCAATGACTACCTTTGCCTTACGTGCTATAACTGAGTAACTCGAGCAATGGATAGGTTACTTGTGGGTTTGTAACTAAAGGCAGTTCAACTTTCCTCAAAGCTGAGTTTCCCAAATTTGTCAAATTTATATATACGTGTTCCGTCTTGACTATGAAAGGCTTTGTTGGCATTTAATCTCTCTGACTTTCTTGGTTTCAGTACCTGAATTGAGGCTGAGGACCAAAAAGACTAACATACATTACATATATATGTTGTTGTTACTGTAATCTACTTCTCGCCTTCCTTGCTCTCATAATAAAATTGGCATTTGAAAGATACCTTGTTTATGTTGCAGAGTTGTTGGCCACCCACGATAACAGGAGGCATCTCACCTTGCATAATTATTGAAACGCCTCACAAAGAATCAGTAACCACTGACTTCTCAAGATTCAAAAAATACAGGTTCAGAAACCTCTTCATAAATCCATCACCTTTGCCAGAACTCAAGTAAGTTTACCAGATGCAGCAGTTGTTGATATTTTATCAAATATGCTGAACTACTGTAGTAAAATCTGTTGCTGTATTGTGTATGTATAATAGTGGGCAGTACTCAACTCATACCTCTACTTGTCTCCTCATGCCACAAACAATTTGATGGCCAAAAAAGAAAAAGACAGAAATTCTGTTGTGTGTTTGTGGTTGGTTTTTTTTTTTTTGTTTGGTTTTTTTTTTTTTTTTTGTTTTTTTTTTTTTTTGTCCCCATACCTTATAAACGCACTGGACAAATAATTTTTGCCTTTCAGAGCTGTCCTTTTATAACTTAATACTGGTTAAGAGGCACATAATAGTTAAACTAAACTTCTTTCAGTGCTGTTGGAACTGAATGACCAAACAACACCAAGCAAAATTTTAAGAACTTAAAAATGCATGAATAAGCAAATAAACTCATGGCAATATTGGTGCGCAGGTATCTTGATGATGTACTGCAGTATGCTTGGTGCAGTCACAGTCCTAGAAAGTTTCCCTTCTGCAGAGGGAAAGATTAGCTGATTAAATCAGATTTTTAAATTTCTGAATTTTTTAGCCATTCAGGTGTGTTAGATGAGTACTCTGGTTGCTGTTTGTATCAGCCTGATGTTTAATGAAAGAGTAGTTAAATTTACTGCAGTGCATTAGGGAAAACTTCTGCTGAGGTGAGTGAGAAGCAGAACATGAAGCATTACTTTGAGAACCTTTCTAGATACACCATGTTTTTATTTGTTCTGGCCAAAACTTGATCAGAACTGGGAGATGCTGCACGGTGATGTTTTGTCTCAGTGCAAAACAATAGGCCTTTTACAGTCTCTTTGACTGAGTTTCAAACTCAGCTGCTCTTCTCTCTCAGTATTACTCCCAAGCCTGCTGAACTGTGCTTTAAAGAACTGTATGCTCTTCTCTCTACCTAGAAAATCACTCTTTTGTATGTGTTGGAAAGCTTAGTGCAAAGTAGTTTTTTAAAAGTAATAATAAAAAAAAAACCAAAAAGGATGGTGGATGAGGGAGGGACTCTCATGCACTCCCTTAGCAAGTTGCTGGCAACTGCTGAATCCCAAAGGTACGTTGTGATACAGAATTCCATGCAAGGAGTTTCATCCTTGATGTTAACCTCTTGTCGATGGGCATCTGGTAAACCTGAGCTCCACCTTTTCTGATTAGCTGAATACGAGGACCATTCACTCTCTCTCCTGCATTCTTCACCCTTTCCTAATTACTATAGGAAGATCAGAATAGATTTCTCAATGCCTGCCCAGTTAAGTGGGGAGACTTGTGCGTTAAGCAAGCAAGTATCTATCCAGCTTTTAATTTATGATGGCAGCAGAAGGGAACTGATCTGGGTTAGAATTTGTAGGTGATACCAGTGACCAGGTCTGTTCAATCTCTCTCTGCTTCTGCTTGGCGAAAGGTAAATACGTAACTCCAAAAATTTCTGTAGGAAATTGGTATTGCTAGTATGTGCTGTCCTTCTTAGTAACTAGGATGAGAAGCACATCTAAGAAAAAAAAATTCATAATAACTAACTACAAATTAAAAGCAAGCCATATTAATGATATATGCATCTTCTCAAGTAGACTTGAGCGCCAATAAATTGTAAGTTATCAATAAACAAGAACTCATTTTTCCTCACAGTAGCCTGTTTCTGAGCCTTAAGGTAGGCTAGAAAGGGAAGGGATGGATGAGTGACATACCTGTAATTTTTTTTTCCTCAGACTAAACTGGACAACTTTGTTTATGTTTTGCATTTCTTGGGGAGTGTTTTTTTTTTTTTTTTTTTTTTCTTATGGGGAGGGTTTAGTTTTTATCTTGTTCTCTGGACAGCCACCTAAGTAGGCAGAATAGGAAACTGGCTATATGTACCCCTTCAGGATGCACGTGTTCAGTTTTATTGGCTGTTGTATAAAACTGGTCTTGCTGATGATCTTGGCAAGCTGCTGTTGCGGTGATGTAAAATGTTCAAAGTATACCTGCAGTTTTCTAATTGCCATAAGGATCTTTTAGTATGTGGAATTTTTCTTTTTGTTCCTGAATATCTGTAAACAATAAATAATGCTTTTATAATCCTTTTGTAAAGGTGTATATATACTTAACGATGCTTTGTGTAACTTTATTCCATAGCTGGGGAAATTCCAAAGATGTCTGGCTCAACATTCTGAAGAAGGAGAACAGATACGCTCATTGCAAACATTTCACATCACTACATTCTAGTTTGCAGCCTCACATGAGATCGATACTGTTAGACTGGCTCTTAGAGGTGTGTTCTTTTACTTTGCCATGTTTTATGCCTGTGAAGTAGGCAGATAAAAGCACAGCTTTAAAGATCTAATAGCGAAATGTGCAGTAATGATAAATGCCAAAACTAGTTTGCAACAAAAGGGTTACAAGTTACTGCTTCTGATCCTCTTGGTGAGATGCTGAACCTTTCACACAGGGCAGCAAGCAGTAGTACTCAGTTTTTGTGCTTGCCACGCTACTGCCTGGGAAGTAGAAGAATCTAGTTTTAAGCCACTTGTACTGAAATTGCTACAAACAGATCAGTTATGGAGCTCTAAAGTTACATCTTAGACTGTATCTAAGCCATGAGACAACTGCATCTGTGTGGAGGACTTGAGTTGCCACCCTGGCGCTATCTCCATCAAGTGCTTTTGGATGTTGGCCCCTGACACTATTTTCTGACTTATTAGTGAATTTTTAATTTTGCCCTATGAAGGAAGCAGAAGAAAGTAGTGCATTAGTGGCTGACATCTGACAGTTCTTGATATAGACAGGTCCTTATTTGAAAAGGATTACAAATAAATCATATCTATATTCCAGTCTAATTGCTTTACTTTCAGACTATTCCAGTTGTCAAACAAAATGGAAGCTCTCAATCTTGGCAGCCTATGTGAAGGAGTATTAGTGTTGTAAATAAAGAGCTATGTTCTGGAGGCATTTCCAAGAAGTTTATATTAAGAATATTCAATCACCACTGCCAAAAGCAACATTTGACTCATGCAGTCCTTGCCCATCAGCAGAAGGGATCTTGCAGGTTTACCAATTCCATAACAAGTACTCCAAGGAGCAGATGTTGCAGTGGCACTCCTGCTGTCTGGGTGGAAGGAACAGTGGTAATAGCAGGGAATTCTAGGGGAAGGAAAGGTGTATTGTTGTGGGGTTTTTAAAATATGATCTGAATATAAAAACTATTCCAGTTGTATACTTCCCTACTTCCTCTGATGTGTAATTTACGTACCACCATTAAGTTGTTTTGTTGCCTCTTTTTTTTTTTTTTTTTTTTTTTTTTTTTTTTTTTTTTTTTAATCTTGAGCTCTTAGGAAATCATCTGATTTCCAAACAGAAATGTCAGCAAGGGCCTTGTTGTTGTCCAGCTCAGTACTTCTGTATGCCACAGTGGATTAAAATCCCAGCAATTTTGAGAGTTCTCTAGTAGCTACTAACATTGTCTTCTGCGACATCATAACTGAGATACTATCTGACATGACCAAGCATTATTATGTTTGGGCAATATAATTTTATAGAAACTGTACCATTCATGGGTGGGCCTGGTCTGTATGTTTTTAGTTAAGAATCTTGTTTGGAGCAGTAGCTAATAGAGTAGCACATCAATTGGCAAATATTGGATCAGGTCTAAAAGAACGGGCTGCAGTGTTGCCGCCAACCAGTTGCATTTTTGATGGTCAGGAATGTTTTTAATTTACAAGTGGGCTTTCGACCTTGTCTTAGGAAATAGCTAGTAGTAGTGAGATTTTATTCTGACTTTGTATCCAAGTGAAATAATGAAGCCGGGCAGGAAGATTAGACTTGGGATCTATTTCTTGGATATTCTTTCCTGTTGACTGTACATAGATTATAAGTAATTTATAGATCTCTAACTAGTTTCTAGTTGTGGAAGTGATACGGAGTTGCGGATAAGCTGGAGTTGTGGCAGACTCACCCGAATTCAGATTAGGGGAAGAAATTAGGCCCCTGCATAACATCTCCAGGCCTGGGCAGTCTCCTTTCCTTTTTTGTCAAACTGGCATTTTGAACCACTTTGATACAATGCAAGTATTAAAAGTTCTCCCTGCCAGGGAAACCCGCAACTGTATGGAGCAGATGGCCGTCCTGGCAGTTTTGTTCCTGCTTAGTGAGGCTGTCGGTGGCCTGAGGGGCTGCAGGCAGCGCTCCTGGCTCACCAGCACAGCCCCCTCGAGCAGGAGCTTCCAGGCTCGTTTGCTGTTGAGACAAAGACTTCAAGTATTTTAGTGGTTCTGCTGTGGGACAGACCTGGAAGGAATACGGAGAGGATCTGCTCAGTGACTTCAACTTGAGATCTGACCCCAGAGAATGCCTAATGAAGTAAATTAGTGGGGTTTTTTTGCTGGCATTTTTTTTTTTTTTTTTTTTTTTTTTTTTTTTTTTACCCCTCAATGAGGATTTCTTCCTTCTGTACTCAATTTTGGCAAAACTGGATGCTATTTAGATTGGAAAAAGTATACTTTGGAAGTGTGTTAGTGCATCATAGACAATCCATGCTCAGGTGGGGGCATGGGAAATACTTTTTTTCCAGTCCCATACTAAGCACTACATCCTAATACACCTATGCATGTGATAATTTGTGTGTGCAAAAGATAATTATGCATATTGTGTTTTATTATTAAAGCTTGAATACTCCAATGTGTGTAGACTTTTGGAACAGAAAACTGAATTTTTTTTTTTTTTTCCTATTGTAGGTATGTGAGGTGTATGCACTCCACAGGGAAACCTTCTACCTAGCTCAAGACTTTTTTGATAGATTCATGTTGACACAGAAGAACATTAACAAGAGCATGCTTCAGCTCATAGGAATTACCTCATTATTCATCGCCTCCAAACTTGAGGTAAGAAGTTCTGTTACAGGGAGGAGGATATTAAGTTTGGAATAACTAAAAAGACAGCAATAATAAATACATTTCTTCTGTCTGAATCTTTTGAACTTGGTGGTGTACCTACAACACTGAGGGTCAGAAGGGGAAATTTTTTTCTTTTCCTTCAGCTGTGCATATGTCAGTCTCTTGGAGTGTAGCCTTTGTCCTCCCTTTCCTCAGCAGCAGGGAAGGAGACCACATAAACTTAAAAGATATGCAAATGTGCTAGGAGTAGTTTTGTTTTGTATTTTTCCAAATATACAGCAGTTGGCAAACAATCTCAGGAATGGGCGTGGGACCTGAACAAGACCAAGCCAAAGTCTCAAACTGCCTGGATGTCAGGCCGGTAGCCCTGTAAATCCATTTAGCGGAGTTCTTCTTTTAAAGTGCCACGGTGGGGCTACATCCCACCGGGCGCTGCATCCACAAACTGAGAGCCTGTTTTTGGACAGCGCATGGTAGGCTAGGCTGAGAGGATAATTTGGGATGTTAAGTTTTGATACTTGGAAACCCCTGATCTAATTGTTCTACAGCCAAGGTGGCGCGCTACGAGCAATTGCCTATCCAGAGGAAGAGCGCGGGGCAGCAGGCCGGGGAGCCAGCTGGTAGAGAGGCAGTGCTGGCAAGTTCGCTTTTACTAACACACCCAGCTCTACGTGGCCCCAGCTGGCATGGTGGGGTTAGCAAATCTCTGGGTTAACCATCTCTGCACCTTGGGTTTTGCCAGCTACAGTGGCTGTGGGATTTCCTCTACTTCTAGCGCAGCAGTGTGCTGTACAACAGTTAGGTTGGTGTACGTTTCTACACCGAATGGGATGGCTGAGTAGAGAGCAGTATAAATGAAAGGGTGTTCTGATTGCTTGGTCGGCATTTATTTCCCCGAAAAGCTGTAAGGCTTGCAATAAATGTATTATCTGTTGTAAAACACAACCTACTTGTTCTTAGTATCTCCTCATCCTGTAAGTTTCAAGTCACTTTGTAATGGGAAAACCACTGTTCTAGCGTAAGGAATGTTAATATTTCAATATGGATTGAGAAGTATTTGCCAGTATCAAGCTTGCTTAGAACTGTAAGGCACTCTAATCTCCACTTTCCCCTCCCCTCCCTTTAAAGGAAATCTACGCTCCTAAAATACAGGAATTTGCTTATGTCACCGATGGTGCTTGCAGTGAAGATGATATTGTAAGAATGGAACTCATTATGTTAAAGGTAATAACTTTGCTGTGTTTGTAAGTGCTGGTGGAAAGGATGTCCAGCTGAGGCTTGTATTTAAATGTCACTTATTTGCTTAGAAAAGGAACATGTGCAGTACGTCCTTGCTTCTGAAGAACAGCGTGACCTTCACTGTACGCGCAGTGGGCCGCTAAGGCCCCTGGCTGGGGTGAAATCCCTGTCTGTTAGGAAAGGAGAGGTTTCTCATGCTTGTAGGGAAGTGAAGGCTCTGAACGGGGACCTGCAGCCCCGGGGCAGCCCGTCTGTCACTGTCATGTGCTGCACCCGCCGAGGTGCTGGGGGGCCCAGGAACAGGGGCCTCGGGGAGAGCCAGGCAAAGAGCTGACGCTCCTCGCTGCTCCTCGGCTTGGAAAGGCTCCATCTTTACCACCACAGAACTCCTGGTACATTTATTCTTCCCTAATAGATGAGAGCTGTGGGTTCAGGCAGCTAGCCTGGATTCTTGGGGAAATACTCTCATTTCCCAGCTTCTGAATGGGGAAGATGCATTAAGATCCAGCTGCACAGAGGGATATGTGTTTGTGCTGATTGTAACACAGCCTGTTCAGAAAGTAGTGAGGATGCAGTCTAAAATTAATATTTGTACTTGAAATTGTACACAGTCTTTAGTGTCTTTTAGTGTCTTTTGAGGATCTGTGCAATAAGCTGAACAAACTGGGGAGGCATCGAAAGAGTTAAGAGCACAAAACTATATTTGCGTGGTTTAAGGTGCTTCACTGTTTAATATTTGCAGGCTTTAAAATGGGAACTCTGTCCAGTGACAATCGTCTCTTGGCTGAACCTCTATCTTCAAGTGGATGCTCTAAAGGATGTCCCGAAAGTGCTGCTACCTCAGTATTCTCAGGAAAAATTCATTCAGATAGCACAGGTAGGTAGTAAACGGGATTGGAAAATTCTTCTTGCAGCGATTACAAACACAACTGAACATTCCACCCCAAAAGCCATTAAAGTGCTTTTCCTTGTTTCAGCTCACCTGTTACTTTGTTAAGGAATGTGCAAGTTTGACTCTGCTAGAGAACTTCATACTCGGTTTTGAGGACAAGCACCCCTGTATTTTTTGTCTCCCTGCTCTCACATATTTTAAGACTTTTTCCGTACTCTGGAAATAAAGTCTTGGGTTTTTAATCACCGTGCGCTACAGTGTTCTGTAAACAGCAGCACTGAGCGGAGGGTGGATCAGTTAAGATGCTATGGATGTTTTCACCTGTGTTGTGTGTAACAGTGTTTCTGTGTAGCTGCCTAGAAGGCAGTCTGGGGAGTGTTTTGACTTACTTTGGAACTGCTGTGGTTCAGTTTTTATGGGCACGTGTTGTGTCCAGCCTCTGAGGGCCTTACTGAAGAGCAGACTGGTCTAAGTCACTGAGCTGCTAGGTGATATTTTAATTAAAGAAAATACCTGCCTGGAGTTATGCTCAGAGTTTAAAGGTGTACTTAAATATGTGCAAGCAAGGTGTCTTGTATGTAAAAGTGCACATTGGTTTGCATTGTAACTGAGACACCCACTTTGACTGCAATCAGTGCCAAAACTAAACCAGGCACATGCAATTGATGCTAAAAGGCTCAGCCATGTTACCGAGCACGCGCTGCCTGAGCACTGCGTTGCAGTTTCTGAGGCAGGACTATACTGGAGTATGTATCATCTTGTTAAAATTTGTAACTCTTATTTCCTCAGCTCTTAGACCTGTGTATCCTGGATGTCAATTCTTTGGACTTCCAGTACAGAACGCTTGCTGCTGCAGCGCTCTGCCACTATACCTCAACCGAAGTAGTTAAGAAAGCTTCAGGTAAGAAGCCTTGGTAAGCCTGGTCTTGTTAGGCAGGGAATTGTGGAAGCTGTTACATGCCTGAGGCTGCTAACACTGTGTTGGTTGAAGGGCTGCCAGAGAGGAAAAGCTACATGGACACTAACAGTTTGTTCTGTGGCTTCCCCCCCCCCCCCCCCCCCCAACTTCACTTCCTTCCCATCACTATTTTGGATGTTATGAAGACTCAAAGAACAAAACACTTTCAGAAGCATAGGCTTGGCTAGGGAAATGAAGCAGATTATCCTTCTTGCTTTTGGGCTAATACTGCTCTACGACTTCCAGTTATTTCAGGCATCCTTAGCTACACGTTAGGAGAAAAATTAGACAAATATGTCATCCTTGTCTGTCAGCAGCATTCAGTCAACCTTTGTGCTAACTCCTACCAGCCTGGCCCTTACAAAATGAGAGAAAAAAAAACCCAACAATCACCTACCTAAGCTCAGCACTTGGGGTGCCTGAGGTACCATAAGCAACTGTGCCAACAGTGTATGTTTTTACAGTGTGACCCAAAAGCTTGTGTTCAAGCTGAAGAAGTCACCTCAGCCTCCTCCAGTAAGCACCAGGAACGGGGCTGGCCAGAGAGCTCCTGTGCTCACCCCCTCTGCCACAGCACCTTGAAGTAACAAGCACAAGGAAATGCTGGGAGGATGCTCCTGAATTATCTGCAGTATTATTTACTGTCGTTTTTAAATTTAAAGTTTTAAATGCCACCCCTTCACGATTTCTAAACCTATTACTGTGCTCTACCCTCTAGGCTTAGACTGGGACAGCATTTCAGAGTGTGTGGAATGGATGGTTCCCTTTGTGAACGTGGCAAAAAAAGTCCCTGTGAAGCTGAAGAACTTTAAGAAGGTTGCAGTAGAAGATCGACATAACATCCAAACACACACAAATTATTTGGACATGCTGGTAGGTGGTTTTGGGGCTTACAGGTGCATTGCACACCCCTTCTCCTGAGGCTGCTGGGGGCCAGACACCTTCCTGCTCACACCTGGCCTGGCTCTCTGCACCCCTCACTGGCAGTGGTGCTTGACAATACTATAAACAAAACATGTTTTACCCGTGGCCATAAGCAAAGACTTGGATTGGAAGTACTGGTGAAATGTTTAAAAGATAGTAATTTTTACTTTGCTGTGTAACAGCACCTTGGGTTTTTGGTCAGTATCCTAAATCTGGAGTACTCACATGGCACGAGCAGTGTGAGGAAGTGCTGCTGAATACTAGTGAAACAGAAAAGTGGAGCTTGTCACAGGTACTAACTGTCATCATCTTCCCCCAATACACAGGAAGAAGTTAACAGTGGAGTAGGATCTACTGCCCCAGGTCAGTTATCACCTGTGTCAACAGGAGGCATAATAACCCCTCCCAAAAGCACAGAGAAGAAATGAAATATGGACACCACACACCAGGGACAGTTTTGGACACAGGACTCGGGGCTTCAGAGCAAGACCACACTCGAGGGGCTCCTGCTCAGTACTGCTACTCAAGACTTGGGCAGTAAAAGACACAGCAACCAGCTGGAAACTGAGGCCAGCGTGCTCCCACGGGCTGGATGGTAAAAGCGTTAGGCCGAGCATCCCTCCACCCTGTCACAGGAGCCTGGACTGCTTCGGTCCCTTCTCAGACACAAAGTTCAACCCTGACCCTGCCTAACTTAAAAATTTCAAGAACTTTTTAAAAATGGCTAAGTGGCAAAGTTTGTCCACTCGACCTTGCTTTAACTTGGGCTAGCCGTACAGGAGAACTTAATGACAGCTTGTACATATTATTACCTCTTCTTGGTTTTTTTCTCTTCTCTTGGTAAGGTCCGAGCTTAACGCCTGTCTGTTAGTCACCCATGAGCTCAGGTGCAGTATTACAGAGGTCAGTGGGTACACAGTTTACTTTTCTGAAACCACTCTGCCCTTGCAGTCCAGGGTCACCAGCCCTGTATCCAATGCTAGCTCCCCGGGGAGGCTGATGAATTCAAGGTGGCTCTCTAGGGCTGCCCTCAACTTCAGCTCCAGTGTATCGCTGACCTCAGGCACAGGCCCTGCTGCTGAAGTCACCCCAACTGGAAGAAGCCCAGGCCCGGGAGGAAGGAGGGCTGTTTTATAAGACCCAGCCACCAGCTTTCAACAAGAACAAATATAACAAGAACTGGAGAGGGCATGGAAAAAAAAAAAAAAGCCAGCCCCTGGTACTCTACAACCACTCCCATCATAGGAACAGTATTTTAAACTAACTGTGGTGCTGTATTTTATCAGTGTTTATAAACAGCATTAACTACTGTGTTTTCCTTGGAATATTCACTACCTCTGAATCACTTCTGTGATGAAGGGACAGTACTGGGAAAGATCCTCCTGCCCTGTGCCCCACAGCCAGGGACAAGTTTTACATGACACTGAGCAGTCCACAAAGCTGCACGAGAGCAGCAAGTGCCACCCACCTCCACATTAAACACACACTAACTTAGCAAACTTGAACCCATGTCTTCTTTGAACAAGCCATTGTGGAACTAGCTGAAGCTGCTGCCAGCCTTCTGTACAGTTTGTAAAAATAAGGGGTTTATAAGAAGATTTCATCTATTTCTAAAAAGAAAGATACTAGACTGTAAATGTTGTATAAAAATTTAAATGAATTTTAAAAATAAAAGACTTAAGATTTTTTTTTTCCACTTCCACCCCTTTTATAATAGTTTTCCAGCGTTAGCCTAGAAGTAAAGTTTTGCCATTGCTTGAAGAAACTTCTTTTTTCTTCTCTGCGCAGCAAGCTGTAGGACCTCCTCAGGGTTACTGGCATTCAGCTCCGTCTGGCCAATGGCTTTTATCTTGAAACAAATGTGGAGACAGCACTAGCACCAGTCCTCCCAGTAAATCCAGTAAAGCTGCTCCCTGACATGGCACGTGCAGCACCAGCTCAATGGGTGACTCTGGCTGGAACACGCTCTGCCACCCCACCCCCAAACCACCAACTTCACATCAGCGCCCAGGCTCCGTTAAGAATTACACAACAAAATTAAAACTGGAAGTGGCCATTCTTTTCCCAGAGGGTTTCAGGGAGGGAAGGGCACACTAAGGAAATCCCACTACCCCCAAGCACCTCCTGTTAACTTACCGCTATCTGCCGCTTGTCCGTCTCGCCCCTTTTGTGGTGCAGGTCTGAGGGTGAGTCAAGAAAAGACACTTGGCTAGGAAATGGACTTTTCTGAGCCATGAACATCCAGTATGACCTTTCCGTAGTGGTATTCTAGTGAAAGGATACATGTCAAGTACTCCAAGATGGTGACATCCCAGATATATTCGTAATAAGAATCCATGGCATCGTGGCTGAGAGAGAGCACAGGTTAGGTCATCTCACACATTCACACATTGTACTGTAAACGTATTTAGAAGCTTTGTTGTAACCTTTACCTGTTTTGTTCCTGCAGTGCCTTAAATGCAGTTTTATAGTCCACTTCTCTGAGGAACTGGCATAAAATAGCTACCTGTGAGGAAACACTTGCAGGTGATTTTGACAGCCTTAATCCCCCTCAAACTGCAATCTCCCACAGCACAGCTCAGCAATCTGCACCTCATCAGGTGCTTGTTTCCACAGCAAGCGAGTCCCCAGCACCTCGGCTGTGAGAGCACACACAACTTCTTCTAAAATAGCAACAGCAGCAGTAGCCAAATGGAAGAAGGAGGGGTTTTACTCAAATCTGAAGGGACTGACCCAGCTTCCAGGTTTCGAAATGCATTTAACAGCTCTTACATCAGAACCTAATATGAGCCTTGGTAATTCTTGGAGAAAGAACAACCCCACTGAACGACGCTGGCCACACGCGATTATCATGAAGAACGAGGCCAGGTTCCCAACACCACCCCAGAGATACAGGATGGTTTATTTTTTTGTATAAAAGAAAACCCCAAACCACTGTATGCTAAGGGAAAAGAGGGACAAAGAATACCCCAGACTACTCAATTTCAGTCCTTTTGGTGTCCTAGAAGCAACAGTAACAAGATCTGCTTTACTGCAGACTGCATTTACAAGGCAAGTTGGATTCAGTTTTACTTTTTAGAAAGCTCTCCCCGCCCTCTTCAAACATCAAAATATTTATGAATAAATGTTTTACCTAATGCCCTATTCCACCTCTTACCTGGGTGTGACAGTTGAGTAAAGAACAACACTTGATCATTCTTTTTATCACCTACAGAACAGTTAAAAACCGAAACATGAATGTTGACATGCTAGTATTGGAACAGAAGCAGCAGTAGTTAGGTTGTTTTTTTTTTTTAAATACAAGGGACCATCTAAACAGCTAGCTACACTCTTCTAACCCACCCAGCAGCTCCTGGGTTTCAGCACATCCACTGAGCTTTCGCCACTTCGGAGACTTCGCAAGGGTACGGTGTGAGCCACAGAGCGAAGCGCCCCAGGCTGCGCCCCGGCACAAAGCTTCCCCCCCTCCTGCCGCCCACGGCGAAGGGCCTGACTTGGGTGGGAGCAGCACAGCCAGCGGGCTCCCGGACAGGAGTGCCCACCCCACGGCAGACACGCGTGTGACAGCGTGGCGGTCCCAGCCCGCGCGAGGCGCAGCCCCACCCCGAGTGGGCTGGGAGCGTTCAGGACCCCACGCGGCACCCGGAGGAGCGCCCACGCGTGGGAGGAGCAGCAATCGGACAGGGGAGGTAAATATCCTCCTTCCCTGGGTCTAGGAGGTTCCCTCCTATTGCTACGCAGTCTACAAGTAACAGAGCGGTTTCCTAATGCACAGGACAAACGCCTGGGTGAAGGCTAAAGTGACTCACAAGACGTCACCAGAACATGCTGTGGCTGGGACCGAAGATTCCTTCCCCCCCACCCCGCTCACAGTTATTGAGGGCTTCTCACTCACGGCCCACTTGCAAGTGCCAAGCCACTCCTCACACCGACTTGCAAAGCACATGGGTACACGCCACATTCCGTGCCAGGCCTCCGGCACGCTCTGACAGCGTGTTACCACCCCCCCCAGCTCCAGCCAGCCTTGCACAGCGCTGCCACCCAGCTCTGCTCGCTGTCTGTCTGGAAAAAAATAACTCTGAGTGTGTGTGTGTGTGTGTGTGTGTGTAAGTGTAAGAATGTGGGTGTGTGACAGCGGGAGCCGGAGGCTGTGGCCAGCGCGGCCCCGAGCTGCCCCGCACCAGCGGACCCGTGTGCTCGTGGCTCTTCCATTTCCTCACTGCTGCACTGGAGCCCGGTACCCACACCTTCCCAGCTGGCAGCTCCGCATGCTCAGTCTCTGCAAATTAATTTACTCTGCAGCAAAGGAGAAGCTTCGTAGGTTCTACGGCCTTCGAGCAACAATCAAGGAAAAAAAGTATCTATTAGGATTCACATCCCTAAATGTATCAAGATATAAACTCTGACAGGCTACAGGAACGTGTGCGTGTTGAACAGTTTTGTCTATACACAGAATTAAGAAGCTGACTGAATCCGCAGAGAGATTTTTGCGCATCTCAAGCCCATTTGAACTCACCTGGTCTGTGTACACATCTGGTGGCACCATCTTATTAAAGAAGTCTGAGCATACAGCTCCTGCCTGTAGATAATAGTGAAGGGCTGCTGAATACTGATTTGTTGCTGCAGTGGAAAAAAGCAAAAGAAGGTCTTAAACACAGCAGTTATTTTTAAGACTCATCTCCATTGTTTACAGAATTATTCAGATACATAGCTGAATTCTATCTGCTAAGTGACTTGCGTATCTTTGTTTTACCACCTCCTGTGCGTCTGTGATTTTTAAACAGTGGTAGACAGAAAACTGCACTATCAGAAAGACTAGCAGCACAGGCAAAGTTCTGCCTTTTGAGAATTACTTCTCACTTTTCAGGTATTTGATCTTAAAACCATCAACCTTAAAGTGGACAAGAAGTTTGCCTTCACTTAATTCAGCAGGTAGGTGGTAGTGAAGGAGTTCAAGGTGGTGTGTGTTAGGGGGGTCCAGCGGACGCCACCACGCACGTCTCCTGGCTCAGCACCAGACCTACTCCCAGTGAGTTCTAACTGAACCGACCTGAAGGCAGCCTTCGGGGGCTCTGTGGCCAGAGCAGCCTGCTTGCCCACACCGCTTCTGAAATACACACCCGACACAAGCCAGGAGTGCTCCGAGCATCGCTCTTTCAGGTACCAGCTTCTGAGGCTCCCTACATAAACGTCCTCCTCCTGGGATGCTGCTCCACTTCGTACGAGCAGTAAATACACCGCCAGTTTATAACCTTGAATCACTCTCCCATCTGTAAGGCGACAGCACTCAACACTGGGTTAAGATCCCTCCCCTCACCCCAAGGGTTATAAAGCATCTTCCAGACGAGTATGGCTCCTTTGGAAGCAACAGGCTAGGATTTCTGCACTGCATCTCACTGCACACCACAGACATCCTTCCAGTCCAAAAAAAAAAAAAAAAAAAAAAAAAAAAATAGATTTGGAAACATGCACCTTGCCTCCTGCCAAAGCACCAGCAAGTAGATGGCAGAGGCACAGCACATACCTAGTTTTATTGTCTGAAAAGAACCATCTGACTTAAATACGAAGTTTCACTAGAGTGGTCTCCACAGATAATTTAGGTGGAAGAAATGCCCATCTACCTTTGGGGATGGCTACAGCCATGTCCTTCTCTAGCACATACACGAGGGAGTACTCGTCTGGCTAGCCTCTGCAAGTTCATTCAGCACCTCTATCTTTGTACTCTCTTTACTCACGCTATAAAGCCCCAGGAACTGACTCTAGATTGGGGAGTAGTTTAACAGAGCACAGTATCACATAGGTTGGGCAAGACTTCCCCAGGCAGCCACCACCCTGGTACAGTCTGGGTGCATGTCATGGTGCCCAAAAGCTGCAACGCTTCACTTCCCAATTCTGCTGGCTGCTCTCAGTTGAGGAGCAAGGACAAGCATTGGGAAAGTGGCAGCTGAGGACAGAACGAGGGGAAAGAGCTTCCCATCACAGCCAATACCAGATCAGGAGTTCAGGCTTCCTCATTCATAAATCCTAGATACTTCCCTATGTAAAATACAGATTGTCTCCACTCTGCTTGTCTTCTGCTCCACTTCCCACATTTAAAAGCAAGCACTGTTCACACAACTTTCCACTCACTTAATAAAAGACTCAAATATCGGGGATTTCCATAATTGTACCACTTGAGGACCAACAGCACTAAAAAAGTGAAGTTAACAATGACTCTTACAGTGAAGACTCCTCTACCCTAAAAGCAAGTCCACATGACCCATCAAGAACTCAGTCTCTCTGTGGGCTTAGACCGCCTCCCAGACAAATTAGAGGAAATACAAGGAAGGTTATGTCAAACAAATCCCAAAGAAGCAAGGTACTCCTACACACATGCTAAAAATAGACATTGGTTTCACTTACCAAAATAAATATCTGCCTGAATAATTAACCAGAAGTGGTTGTTTGCGTTGATAGTCAATGCATAGCTGACTAGCTCTTTTACTGTAACAGCCACAGCTTCAAAGTCCACTGATTGAAGACTACAGGAAAAAAGGAAGAAAAATAATTCCTAAATTATTGTTTTGTTTTTTAAAGCACTAATATGATTTTCCACCTCATTTAAGGCCAAAATAACCTCGTGTTAAGTGTCAAGCAAAAATAACTCCAGGAAAGATTTAGTGTTGACTAAAACTACTGTTGAATTGTTTCAATACAGTAAAAGTCCGACAGAACAAATACACCCTTCACATAGTTGGACAAACAGGCAGAACTTTATCTGTGGCTGACACCATAAAAGGGTTCTGTGCAAGAATATATGTTCTCAGTTTCAGGAAGTTTGAAGACAACACCAGAAACCACTACAAATTCACCACAGCATCTGCACGAATGGCCCCAGACAGCGATCTCTGGAAACTTGAGGAACTAGCTTGAAAAGGAAGGCCGGGAATGGTTTGGCACATTGCTTGGGCAGCCTTTCCCAAAGCTCATGGGGAATCTCCATTTTTTAAAAACATGTTTCTTTTCACCCTACCGCTAAATTCTGCTAACATGGAAAATTACTTTCTTCTGCTTGACCTTCTAATATACACCAAAGTCTAAATCAGCAACAATGAGACTATTCAATCAGACCAATTAACAACAAATTAACCACACTGAGCATTACACACTCTGTCATGAGTCTTCTCTCCCAACGCATACACAGAATCTGTAACAGGGGGGCTTTAGCCTGACAGAGCCTCTGAACTTCACTGGAGAAATACAGTTCAATCCAGCCAGAACAAATCAATACATACTATACACCACCTCATATTTTAGCAATTAATTATTCAAACTCAACTCAAAAAATATTAGTTATTTCATATTAAAGTATTATATAGTTCAGATAGTTACATATAGCTCAGTAAAGCACACAGCTAAAAACCCCCTCAGCTTTTTGTACCTGCATCTCCACCAGGAGCATTACATTAGGAGCGAAAACCTCCCTGCAATCAAACCGATCTGCTCACAAACACAATAGGGGTCAGTGCTGCCCTTACATGCCAGAAATCACAGTAACACAAGTTAACTAATACAGAGCGACTGGAATCAAAGCAATTACATAAATGCACATTTTAGAAACTGTACATTTAATTATTATCTTACTTGGGGATGGATGAGGGCCAGATGGAAATGTGCTCTGCTGCAATATCATTCACAATATCTTCCTAAGAGAAGAAAGATGATAACAGAAATTATAAAGAGAAACATTTCAAGAAAACCAAGCAGCTTGTCACAGAATGGTTTGGGTTGGAAGGGACCTTAAAGATCATCTCCTTCCATCCCCCCTGCCACGGCCAGGGACACCTTCCCCCAGCCCAGGGTGCTCCCAGCCCCGTCCAGCCTGGCCTTGAGCCCTTCCAGGGAGGGGGCAGCCACAGCTGCTCTGGGTGCCCTGTGCCAGGGCCTCACCACCCTCACAGGGAAGAATTTCTTCCTGATATCTAATCTAAATCTCCCCTCTTTCAGTTTAAAATTGTTACCCCTCATCCTATCCCTACACCCCCTGATAAAGAGTCCCTCCCCATCCTTCCTGTCCCCCCTTTAAGCACTGGGAGGCCGCTCTAAGCTCTCCCCGGAGCCTTCTCTCCTCCAGGCTGAACACCCCCAACTCTCTCAGCCCGGCCTCATACGGGAGCTGCTCCAGCCCCCCGAGCATCTTTGTGGCCTCCTCTGGACCCGCTTGAGCAGGTCCATGTCCTCCTTATGCTGGGGCTCCAAAGCTGGACACAGGGCTCCAGGTGGGGTCCCACGAGAGTGGAACAGAGGTGAGGGTCCAGGATACAGTTGGCTTTCAGGGCTGCACGTGCAAATTGCCAGGTCATGTAGAGCTTCACGTTAACCAACACCCCCGAGTCCTCAGCAGTGTTCCTCTCAATCCACTCACCGCCCAGCCTGCATTCGTGCTTGGGATTGCCCTGACCCATGTACAGGACCTTGCACTTGGCCTTGCTGAACTTCATGAAGTTTGCACAAGCCCACCTCTCAAGCCTGTCCAGGTCCCTCCAGTGCACCAACTGCACCACACAGCTTGGTGTCGTCAGTGAACCTGCTGAGGGTGTGCTCAATCCCACAATTATGATATATACAAACCCGAACGTTATGAAGCTTGACAAACAGGGACAATATTGTTGTTAAAACCAATGGTTCCTGTAAGGAGAAAAAAAAAAAGTATTCCCATGAATCAACAAAACCCCACTTTCTTCCCTAAGCTTTAAAGCCATGTAAGAAGTTCTGACATTATCATTTCCTCTTGAAACAGGGCAGTATTTTTGTTAAGAATCTTTCAACACAAGGATATTGTGAGAGTTTCTGTAGGAAGTCTTTAATTACTTCAGATTTTTCTGAGTAACTCCTTGGATGTAAACTTTACGTAGGTTTTACATATTTTTATGCTGTTCCTGTGGCTACTGCCTAACTTTAAACTTAAGCTAAGTATAGTATACTACAACTTTCTATGCATTTACAAACCCACAAGCTATAAAAATTTTCCCTTCCTTTTACTTCTGCTGCTTAATTATGATGCAAGTAGCAGCTTCCTTCTCCCTCCAAAAGGGATGCTTTGCTTCGTGACAGCTGCATTAAAATATACTCCTAATATTAACAGATCTCCACTGTCAGAACTCAGGAAATTTTTTTTTTTTCTTACAAGTTATTCCACACTGCTCTATGGCAGGTACAGCAAATTCAGAAGTTCTTCAGCCATACAAAACACCTATATATCTGTCAGATTTTCCTGAATTTAACAGGAAAGTCCAGAAAAATATTACATCAAAAGAAGTTCTGGTTGCAAACACATTCTCCAGACCACTGTAACTCACCCGAAGCTTTTTGATGAAGGACAGCAATTCACTCCTAAATTAGGGACACAAATACCCATGTAAGTAATTGTCCACAACAAAGAATATATGCAAACTTAATACACTGGAAATGAGAGTCAGTAAAGCAAATTCTTCACCTGACAAAATGCCCCTTCACGTCCAAGTTTACAAATTAGGGTATGTAACTGAAAATGCTCTAGCAGGTCATTCACTTTTAATACAGTCACTAGCAAGTTTTATTTAAACCGTTTTAAATGTAAGAGGCATATGTTGTTCCATCAAGCTACAAAAGACATGAAAATCCCTTTGTAGTAAGTCAAACACTGACTCTAAAAGGGAAAGCAATTAACTGTACTGTGATTCTCCAATCTAGGATCGTAACAATGACCTACAGGCTTACAGAGGAGGGTACACAGTGACCATTTCTAAGGTACATTGATTTCCTTGTCACACCACATCAGAAATCGTCACCATAAGACACTCCAGACAAGCACAGCCTGTTTGGAAAAGGTTTCACTGCTTCTTTTCCATAACAACAACAGGGTCACTGCCCTTTACTGTTTGAATCCAAGGGGTCAGGAAAGGTTCAGTATCCTAGAGTACACCTGTACCGACTCCTTTTCCTTGCCAGAGTATACAACTGAAACCTACAGCAAGCACATACCCTCTTCCACCCACCCCCCAGCAGCGTAGGCAAACGCAGCTGGCCTTTAGGCACACATTAACCTGATTAACGCAAGGAAGGCAAAGAAACAGTCAACAGTTTGACAGGGGCACCTTTTCCAAGTTTTTAACGTGGAAAGCTGTTCACTATAAACGTACATTCCAGAATTTACTATAATAGGCAACTTATAATCAGGCTTGGACTTCAGAACAGGCTGGAAACAGAGTGGACAAATCAGAGAGTCCTGAATCAATCAGTTATGGCAAAGACTGGCAGAGGTTAGGTAACTGACAATTAAATTACTCCAGTCAAGAGTGGTTTCTTCCTTTTCCTAGGAGCTCAAATGAACTAGAATTTAATTTCAAGACTGAGTAACATTTAGCTTTCGGTTCAGAAACCTAAAGCTAAGTATTGACACCTATGCCATGAACTAAGTGTTTAATACCGTTATATAAGCAGTTAACTGATACAGGCAATGGAGTCTGCAGAGCAATTCTATTTGACATAAAGCAGACACCTCCAGCTGGTTAGCTAAACTGCCTTCCTGATGCCACTGACTTTATAGGGAAGATCTACACCGATTATTATGGGAGCACAAGCATATATGCTTTGACAACTGTATGTTGCCCTGAATCTCACATACTCCTTTTCTCTCTCTGAAAAGGAAAGTCAACAATACCCAACACCATCAGTGAGGAGATTGTTCACTCAGTAGAGAACTTTAGCTGCTGCCACCAGCTGCTGATAGTGGAATCCGGACAATCTGTGAAGGGAATAAGGGGTCAAATATACACTTCAAACAATCTTGAAGAATAATTTAAGAAAACACACCTGTACATAATGCCCAGTGTAGACTCCCTGTGTTTTATCAAACTCACTCTGCCATCATTTCCCCGTTTGTGCTGGTTGGATACACTGCAGATTTGTACAACGACTTCCCAAAGGTCTTTAGCTGTCCGTCTACTTTCTTTGGGACCCGGAAGTTCTTTGCATGTAGCAGCCAGCAACTGTCCTAGCTATGCAATGCAAGAGAAAAAAAGCACAATAACTACAGCTCCTCTGAATATTGACTACAGCAAAGGAATTACTGGCATTTAAAAGGTCTAAGCAAATGATTTTAAGTTACAAACTATACAGCAATATGGCTAAACTTTGCAGCAGAGGACACTGATGTGGAACCGGGAGGACAGAAATTAAAGAGAGGATTTTTCCCTTTCTTAGTTTCCTTATGGTATATTTCATTACTACAGGCTCCAGAAAAGAAGCTTTACGCTCTACTTCTGTATCTTGCATCAAGCCCAAAACCTGTAAAATAGTGTTTTACAAAGACTGGCTCCCTAGAACTCCCTTAACTTTCATATAATAATTTGAGCTGAAACTGGCACCCTCTGCTATACAGAAAAAGCTGAACCTCAAAATGGAAATTAGGAAATACCACAGGTAAGCAGAACAGGCCAAAAATTAATCTGTCCTGTAATATGATCTTCATTCAGCTTCACTGCCTGACTTTGAAGTAGAACTACTGCTGTGGAACCGTTTTGAAAGCAGAGTTTCAAATAAGGCAGTGCTAGAATGTCTCCAGAAATTCAGCAGTGGTGTTTGGTTCAAAAATGGAACCATTACAGCACATTTGGAAAACAAGTGTCGTAGGAATAGAAAAACCACCAGATCTATACACTTTTCTCACACCTCCTACATGAATACAGGCCAAGTGCCAGCTGAGAGTCCTTTGTGGAAGTGCTACAGGGGTTCAATCAGCTTATGGATCATAACCAGACATTGCCTGATGCTTATGGAACCAACCTCAGCTGGCAGCCAAAGGCTAAGATGCAGTTTGTTTCATCTGTTCCTGCAGCACAGCCTCCATGTCTTTTGTCAACCGTCAAACACACTCGTTTCTTAGCCCTTCTGTCTTCTACACCAAACTTAATTCATTATAGCAACAAAACCTGACATTCTTGAGACAGAAGGGTACATGCTTTTAAAAGTAGACAAGGTTTCAGTGGGAAAAAGTCAATTACAGCCTGACAAGGCTTTGAGACTGAGCACTCACCTTCACATAAGGATTAGTTTGAACCAGAGGTAATGGAACTTGCATGGTCAAATACTCATTCTCACACCAGTTTAACAGGAAGGCAACACACTCTTCAGCTATAACTTGTCGAAGAGGAATATCTGGAAGAAAAGGTGTTCTTTGCTTGACTTTTTTTTCTGAGAAACCAGTGTTATATGAAAACAATCAAAACCCATTCCTTCTAGTTAGCCATTTCTGTTCCAGAGCTATCCCAGAAAAACACGATGCTTAGCCCTACAAGAGACCTCACTTCTGCAAGTCAGGAGCAAAAACAACAACTTCCTCTGACCACAACAGCACTATGTTACTCCCTCAGTGTGAAATCATGCGGGCTGTTTTTAACAACTAGCAAAACTTTTCAGGTAAAAATGCAGACATGTTTATCCTGTTCGAGTCCTTTAAGTGGCACTAAACAGATACTGTCAGCATTTGGCAACATGTAGGTATCCTGATGTTGCTGTTCTCATTTCCAGCTTTTAAAAATTAAAATTTCTAAAGACTCACTAAAACCAGTGTCAAACTTCACTACTGGTTTTCTAATTATACACCAAAAAGGTAAATCTACAATACAAAGTTGTTTCTTTTTTTCCTGTCTCCCAAGCTTTGTGCTTCACTGCATCCCAGGAAAGACGTACTTACCAGGTACTCTCATCTCCAAATATCCTCGGACTCTGCTTATTAGATCAGAAGGAGGACGTTCTCCAGAAACACCAGCTCCAGCTTCATGAGTATAAATGTCCAAAAGCAGCATTTCATTCAGCATGACTTGACGGAGTTTTGGAGAAAACTCTGTCACGAGCTCCAAGCAAGCAGCAAAAAGCTGTTTTGCATGGACAAAATCCTGCAATAAAAGGATATGAACTAACGATTTCTAATGGATTCATAAGGAAAAAGACCAAGAGTTAAAGTGCTGTTCAGCTCTATCCTGGCCGAACCAGCCTCAGCATCCATTATCATTGCTCAAGCATCTCACAATTATTATTTACTTTTTTGAGTCCTTTGGGCTTGCTACTGAGCTTAACAGTTCCAACAGTTCCAGATTTTTCAAACAGAACAAGAAGTTTAAGCAAAAACATACCAGAAGTAACTACTGACATATTTGGTACAGTTCAGTTTCACCTTGCAGTTTAGCAAACTACAGTATTGTCAATTACAAGGAAAATAAAACAGCATTCCAATAAATTCCTTAAGTAAAATGGTTAGCCAAAAGAACAGCACCTCATACCAGTAAGCCGAATCACTGCTGTGTTTAGATGCAACATGATTTCGTACATCATAATCAGAACTTTGTATGAATGAAATTATATCCAGGCCCAAGTCACTGGAAATCCATTATCCTTGCTCTACTCATGGAACTTTGCAAGATAGAAATATTTAACCATTGAAGGACACACAGAGCTTGTTACTACATCTCCCTCACCTCCCATTCTTTAAATTATTTTTCTCAAAAAGAGCTTTCCGTATTTTCAGTGTTGTTTAAATTTAATTGTCCAAACCAACTCACCAGTAACTTCAGATGGCTTGCTCACCTTAATTGCACAGCAGTGTAATCCCTTCGCCATAAGGATGTAGACCAAATCCCTAGTCAGATTGTCTTTGATTCCTAAAATAACATTGCCGTAAACATTTGGTACTTCCCACTGGGAGAGAAATACATAGGACATTTGCACAGAAAAAGGTTTTAGAATTCACATCACTGCTTAAAACATTATAAACAAAAAAATACTGAAAAATGACATCTAAGTGCCAACTCTTTCATTTTTACATCTAATCAGAAGTAATGTATTGCTTATATAGAAGTACAGACTCCACCTGGAGCCCTGTGTCCAGCTCTGGGGCCCCAGCATAAGGAGGACATGGACCTGCTCAAGTGGGTCCAGAGGAGGCCACAAAGATGCTCAGGGGGCTGGAGCAGCTTCCATATGAGGCCAGGCTGAGAGCTGGGGTTGTTCAGCCTGGAGAAGAGAAGGCTCCAGGGACACCTTCTAGCAGCCTGCCATTACCTAAAGGGGACTACAGGAAAGATGGGGAGGGACTCTTTATCGGGGGTATAGGGATAGAACAAGGGGTAACAGTTTTAAACTGAAAGAGGGGAGATTTAGATATTAGTAAGAAATTCTTCACTGTGAGGGTGGTGAGGCACTGGCACAGGGCACCCAGAGCAGCTGTGGCTGCCCCCTCCCTGGAAGGGTTCAAGGCCAGGCTGGACGGGGCTTTGAGCAACCTGGTCTGGTGGAAGGTGTCCCTGCCCGTGGCAGGGGGGCTGGAACGAGATGATCTTTAAGGTCCCTTCCAATACAAACCATTCTGTGACTCCAAGTACAATAAAAATGGCAATCTACCCTTCTTTGTTCATACACAGAATACGCAATAATTGTGAGGGGAAAAAAAAAACACCTTACAAAAAAAAAAATCCTTACTTAAAAAAAAACCCTCTTCCTCTCTCCTGCTGCCAGCTTGCCAGCTTTTAATGACAGGAATTTGAACTAAAATATTGTGAACTGGTAAGAACACTGAAAGCAAAAGCTACAGAAATTTGTTTTCTCACAAGAAAAGCTTGTTATACAGCCAGTAATTCCTTAAAACAAAGGCTATACTGTTGTAATATTTTTCATAGAGAATGTGCATTTAGATATGTATCATCATTCTGATATTAAATCACCATTATGCAAAGAGGGGAAAAAATCATATTGAGCATCTATGACAAAACGTTTACTGTTCATTGCAGTATGGCACCTAGCCAGTCCCTCAGTTGCACTCTCTTATGACCATATGAAATAAATTACCTTATTCGAAATTGTCCAGAATTGGCGTTCTGAAGTCATACCATGCAGCTCAATTAAAATCTGGCGAATCCTCCAAGGATCTACTGACAATATGAGCTGATGTTCAAGCTGGCCAATATTGACACTTGCTGAAGCTAGAAGAAAAACAATCAGGTCTGCAGCACATTCCTTCTTAATGCAGATGCTTACATTTCTTTATTATATAACACTTTAAACATGAGACAGTAAGAACAACAGATACATCAATGCTTCTGTAGGCCCTGTACTTCCTTTCATGCCCTTCCACAAAGGCCTAGCTTCCCAGCTGCCCTGACCTAAGAGGTTGTCTGCAATGCCGCCTTTTCTCACACTAGCACACAGTAAAGCACACTTGCCACAGTAAAGCAACTGGCTCAAGATCTGTACCACAAAAAAAGTGTTCTTATACTGCGTTAGTGAAAATATGCATTGTCACAACTGGCTTAAGTCAATGCAAGACTGTATGAGAGCTGGAAAGGGAAGTTCTTTCCAGCTCCAGTCACCACCTGGCACCTCTTACATTAGCTTTGACTTGTGCAGCTGCACAGCCAGCCACCTATATCTGGGAAACGAACCGGCTGAAAAGATCTGTGTTTCACTTTGGTAGGTTTAACTTCATCCAGATGGTACTCCTGGGCCAGCTCACCGGTCACATGAGCATTAGTGCTGGTGTAAGTCCAGAGGCAAGGTGCCCTTTCTGGGAACAGGTGTCACAGACAGATTTGGTTCAAACCAACCGCCACACCTCTCTTTCACATAGTCAGCTAGGACACATTTGAGTTGAGCCTATCTATTACACTCAGCTGAGATACACGCAAATAACAGCCACCTTCCTGAACAAGCAGGACATTCACCAATTAAAAATGGGAAGAACTCTCTCTAACCTTTTTCTGAGACCAAATCTGCACCCAGTAACCTCAAACATGGAAACGGGTAACTGCCTGAATGTAAGTTAATGGAAATGCTGTGAAAATTACCTGGGATATCATAAAAAGAAGTCACAGGTTTTGTGCACAGGTTGATTCGAGGAGATCTCTTCCGCATTTGATCAATGAGCAGCTTTCGTTCATCATCCTTCAGCAGTTTTATGAACAGCTCATGGGATGAAATCATGAAGACAAGCTGAAGATCTTCCAAACCCAAGCATAAGTTTCTAAACAAATAAAAAAGTAAATATGTGAACAGGAAGAAGCTGCTTATTTTTCCAGATATAAGTTCTTAAAACATTTATTGTGCTGTATTACATTGCTTACAAAGTGTAAGCTCATGTTATCTTAATATGGGTACGTACTTCAGAAATTCTGCCATTTTTCTCTTCAACACTTCAGTAGCGTTTTCCAAGTTTATTGATCTTGAACAAACCTGGGAAAGAAAGCAGAAAATCATTAAGCAGCCCCTCAGAACTCTTAAAATATTTAGTTACAGGTAGTGTTACTGCCCAGTTTTCCGACTCACAATTAGTATTGGCCAGTAACCCTCCCTCTCAAGGGAGGCAACAAAGTTATCTGATAAACACTGTAGCCATCACAGATGGGTCAGTTTCTTTCAACCTGTACACAAGACAGGACTGTTTCAGACAACTGTGATCTTCTCTCTGACACAATTCACATTTCTTTTTCCTATTCCTCTGCTATTTAGGTGTGCTGACACCACGTGCCACAGTATCAGTCAGCCTCACAAGATCATTAAGTACATAACAAAGTCCTTTTACATGAGTTTAAGAACAAACCAACATTTAAGTGCAAAACTTAAGATTCACTAGGACTAACAAGTAACAGGTGCAAGATAACTAGATAGTTGAATTTAACTGTCAGCTTGCAAGAAATATTTATTTTTTTAAAAAGAAATATGTATAAGTGCTAATATGAGCAGCTGATGGAACAGCTTTTACTTGCTCTGAAGTAGAGAGTACTGTCGGTCAATTTCTGACACATGCTTGGAGACACAAGCAAAAGACAGGACTCAAATTAAGAAAAGAAGATATGAAAGTAACAGCAGAGCAACAAAAGAAGTTTAGTTTGAGCAGTAATAGTTTCCTGAAAAGCTTCACTAAGGGTAACAGTTTAAGTCTCACACACACAGTAACTCAGGATCACTTCACCACATGCTAACTTTTACAACAAAGCTAATAAGGGAAAGTGGTCCTCTTCAACAGGCAACTTCTTTTTCTAGTATCTCTCTCTGTCTTGAAGACTTTTTTTAATTTGCTCTTTGAAAACAACCATTCAACAATATTTCTACATAAACTTAATGACTTCAGGAATAGCATCAATTTCAAATCCAAGCTGAAACAACAGGTCAGCACTGGTTCCTTCCCAATAGATGGAAACGGAGCTATGAATATAAATGCAAGACTGATCACGGAGTGTAATTGTACTAACTGCAAATAAGTTGAATAAAGTTTGAGAAGTTACCTTACAAAGTATTTGCCTCTGCTTCAGAAATTTGACCATTACTTGCAACGATAATACAGTTATAAGGGGAAAGAAATATATCACTAAATATCACTTCCCCTTCTAATTTCAGATAATTTCTTACCTCAAGAAGAAAGTCTATTTTCTCTTTGCTGGGTTTCAGGAACAGTTGACAAAACTGAATATCAATTGTTTGACCCTGCAATACATCACAGACTGTGTTGCACACACAGACTTTGAAACAAACTTCATCCAGAGCATCATCATTCCTGCATGAACACAGAACCAAAGATCAAGGAATGTCCCTGACAAACACAGAGTTTGTATCACAGCAAAGCTCCAGGTGCCAGATCCCAAGACAAGTTTCGAGCACATGCCTCTGCCCAAGACTGTACTCAGAAAAACTTTACTCAGGATATACTTCATTTTACCCAGGACCTCACTTTCTTTAAAAGAAAAATCCCTCCCTGGCTACAGCTCTGTTTCACACACAGACTTTATCATTGCTTCAGCCTGAGCACCACTGAACTCCAACCAGAGCAGTGCGACTGACACAAAAGTGCATTGCTTCTTGGCAAGCATGCCCTGAGCATGACTGACAGTCCAAAAGATTCCAGGAATATTTATGCATCTCAGAATACACAATCATTGGACAAAAATCAAAGCAAATAACCAGAACCTATGGCTCATTTCTCTTAATCCTTCTCTCTGTGCTTTGACTAGATTGCAAAGTCATGTTCCTCCATCCTTCCCTGTCTAGACTCATCACTGAAGGCAGTCTGTATCAGCTGTATCAGAGATGAAAACATTCCTACACAGTGCTAAGCTACAGCCTTGAAGATCTTTTCTACGAGATGTTTATTTGACTCCTCTCTGTCTGAAGTGAAAGCTGAATTCAGTAAGTACTAAGCTCTTACACAAGGGGCTGTCACCATTGATAGTTCTTTTTCCTCCCACACGTGCTTGTAAAACTGAGCCTCTTACTTCTGCTGAAATACTTGTAGGCAGCTTCCCTTCAGAGAAGGATTATCGTCATGATTATACGGAGATGCTTTCCGTACAGCCCTGATTCGAGTGCCTAAGCTCCACAGAAGGTTGAATTTTGGATGAGGCCCATTTTTCAGCTCGGAGCCATCCACAAGCTGCCCTCGAAATTTACTTAATTCTCTCTGCTTATTATACATTTTTTTCTTATTATAAATGTACCATACTAATCCTTCAACCCTGGGCTAGTTCACGGTGCACACGGCTCCTAAGCACAGGTAACTACACCGCCAGTGTTCCCAGTGAACTACAAATCTCCTATAATATTGCTGCTTAGTATGGTTAACCTGACCAGATTTGAATTCAAGTTTTAGAACACCTCTAAAGAAGCATTAACTTAGTTATAAAATTTTTAATATATATATATATATATATACACACGCATGACTATGACATAAATAAAAAAAAAGTCAGTAAAGTGGTAAAATTAAGTGTTAATACTTATTAATTTTTTCCCACATATGACCACAGTGAGATACATCACAACACAGCTCCTTGGAAGATGTAGTTTAGACTACTGCTAACAGAAATAAAAGGCTGAAGTTTCTTGGATGTAAGTAATTTGTTAGAAGATTTGGTATACTTTCCATGAAAAAGTGTAACTCATGAAAATTGCTTTTCATCATCACTGAACAGATCATTATTTAATGTCTCACCCTTGTTGAGCTTTTTGGAAGAGTTCTCTCAGCACCGATTGCCTGAACTGAACAGGTAAACTGAAGGTTAGATTATCTTCAAGGAATATCTTCACTAAGTCCTATAATAGAAACACAGTTAGAATAGTCAATGGATAATGCAAAAGATACAGCTAATTTTCTACCTGGCAAAAATGATCAAACTAACAGAAGTAGCTTGCACCCACATGTAATACTAAAATTAAACAACCAGAAACGGACCAAACAACAAAAAAAGTTCTCTAGCATCAGAGAATCAAAGAAAAAACCCGAACTTGCACATCTCAGCACCAACATTCCCTGAAACCCAAAGAATTAGACTCTACCTGAAAATTCCATGCATCAGCTAGTAGGAATTATTTACATTGTATGGAATCCAAGATTTTTAATCTAATATGCATCAGATTATGTTATATTCCTACATACATGTGTTCTAAACAGTATGTTAATGGTCAACTGGAACACTTAAATTTATTAAAATCCCTAAGAGTTCAGGTGGGATTTTCCATATGGAATGATAGGAAAAAACCCTCAAATATATGTGACTTTATTTAAGCACCCTACCTGATAGTTGCCAGATTTCATACAGCTATGGATTTGACTATAAGGAGTTGCCTGTTGAGATGCATCATCAGAAGATGAGGTAAGAACTCCACAGGCTTGACAGTACCCAGCCAATCGCTCTTCATCTATGGTAAAATGAAGTGATGATGAACCATTCTGAAAAGAATCAGTCAAATCTTAGTGGCCAAAATATTATGAAATATAAGCTTAATTCAGAAACAGAAACTCACAGCTTCCCCAAGTAACAGCAAAATAACAAAACAGTGTGCATGTACACACTTTTTTAAAAGCATACTTTTATATTTCCTCTTTACAGCTTAGACCATGTTTTAGCTATTTAAACAAAAATCTGAATTTTGCAGTTTTGGGAATATAAACATGAAGCGAAATAAAAAAGAAAGCACACCTTAATTGTAAATTAAAATGTTGTATCCTTTAAAAGGTCAGAACATAAGACAATCTGATTTCCAAGGGAAAGTTAGATTAAAAAAATAAGAAGTGCTCTATGGTTACCTTCCTCAAAAACACATCACCACAAAGGACACAATACACTGTTCAGTCGAGTTACTATTAGCACTGGAGATGATATTCTTGCATTTCTTGTATCAATACAATTTGTATAAGAATATTAATTACAAAATGGAGAACAAAGCAGCAATATATTGCAGCCTATTAGCAATTTCAAGTAAGATGCAATGTGAAAACACAAAAACTGCTGTCAAAAATACCATGAAGTTTAAAAACTATGTGTACCATTAACATTTATTAAATTGCTAAAGGAAGCAATAATTTAGACTTTTTTTTTATGAGTTGAACATACATGTTAATAAAACACTCATTACCTTTGCAATCAACTCCTTTGTTCTGAAAAACTTTTCTTTAGCGTTTTCATGAACAGCTGCATTTGTAGCTCCTTGTTGAAAATAGATCGCACCCAAATCATAGCAAACCTGCAAACAGCATCGATATAAAACACTATAATCCTGGAAATTTATATAATACTTTAAGAAGATTAAGTATTTCAGCTCAAACCTCACATGTACTTTAAACTATTCCTAGCTTTACCTAACATACAGATATACACTGCATACCCTTCCCCACGTACTTCAATTGTTTCCTCTTTAACTGTGATCTCAGTATGAGTAATTCTGCACAGGCATTACAAAATCACAATTATGTGGAAATAATTCTGTAAAGAACAATGTAATCAGCTGTCCTTGCCACATAATGGTTGAAGGTGGTGAGAGTGGGGATGTGGCAAGGGAAGTGAGGGGTTGGGTTTTAGTAATGTAAAAAAGAAATCAGTAATATCTCATTGCATTAAAAAAGAACACAGTAAATATTAATAGAAGAATATTCCAATTTACCTCAAAAACATTACTTAGCACTGTCTAAAGAAACAGATATAAGTTGAAAGCTTTAGTATAGAATGTAAGTTACCTGGCACTCTATCTCCTCTGCACTGATTTTCAGTCCAGCTGTGGAACTCTCTGTTTCTCCATTCACCATACCAGGCTCCATGGCTAATAAATCCAGAGTTCTTATGGTGTGGACATAAAGATCTTTGTTTAATTTAAGTGCTCCTTCTAGGACCAGGATGGAATCAGCAGCCTGCTCTTTCAACTGCAATAGTTCAAATGCATTGAAAAAAATTAACCTCTTGATTTTGAGTTTAGGTCTGAGTTTAAATTAACACTAGAAATGTAACATTACAGTGAAAGAATAGTAAAAAAAAACAAAAAAAATTCCTTATATACCTGTCTTATTGCTATGTAGAATCTGTTCCTGTATTTCTTGTACAAAAAAAGTTTGTGACTTCAATTTCAGGTACTCAAAGAAACAGGATCAAACACTCACTTCCAATTGAAACAAAACATTTTTCCCTGTTTCACCTATAACTTTTTGTCCATTTCCTGAGCATTAAGTTATGGAACAGTCAGATTGTAAATGTTATTATTTTGCAGCTGAAACAAAACCAGCTTCTATGTGAACAGCAAGTTTTTTTCAAAAATTCTGGTGAACTGGTAAAACAGTTAAACATCATTCACACCCATCTATTTGAAAAAATATCAAAGAGTAAAAAATTCTTAAAAAAAGTGTAATACAAATTAATTAACTGATTCCAAGTAGTACAAGAGTAGGAAAATGAGCTAGGCTACTTATGGAAATAGAGAGTTTGTTCTTCCTCTTTCTTGCTTCTCTCAAAGGGAAATGCTTTAGGCCCAACTAAAACTCTGTTGGAAGCTACATACAGAAAACACTCAGCTACTATATCCTTTGGAAAAAAAAAAAAAAACCAGTTGTATTGAATTTTGCTGCAATATGATTCAGCAGCTCAAGCATGGTATGGTCTTAATTACTAATCACAGACTGATTTTGTGGAAGCTTGCTCAATTCACATGACAATTTCACAGGATGGGCTGATGAAAGAACACTTCAATCACACAAAACAAATTCCATACTACATGCAGTGCAGCAACAACACTGTCCAAATTGCACACAGTGCAACTGTAGCAAATACTTAAAGTGGCAAATATAATATAAATGTACCAAATCAAAACTGTGATGCAATTGTTTATTTTCTGTCCATCTGTATTTACAAGTAAATTCAAGCAAAAATAAGAGGGGAAAAATGTCTCACCACTTTCAAAATATTTTCAGTTAGTTCCTTTTCTTGCTGCATCTGGGTCATCCTGGAAAATAGAGAAAAGAGGTCAGGACCTCAATTTTAAAGCAAACCTGCATGTAATTTTACTTCATGTTCTAAACCACAACAATTCGTTCACAGCAAGTTTTGCTAAATTACATTTTAAACATCATTATGCAGGACCACTGATGGTTCTTGTCTTTCTACATCTGAAATACAGAATTATATAACAAAAAGGTAAGTTTTAGATGAGAATGTGGCTTGATAAAATGGAAGTTATGTTGTTGTTTTTTCTTTAAAAATCAGATTGTTAATATTGGCAAAACTATCATGAAAAAATCATCTTCCACAGCCTCAAGCCTGTTGAAGCTTCACTGTTTAAATATTCTGCAGCACGTGTTGGAGGCAGATGTGCGTTCACGTGTTTATGTAAAAATTAGAAGTATTTTTAAACTATCTCCCCATACAGAATTAGACTCTGATACATATAGGACAATACAAGGTTTCTAGTAAAATGAGTAGGAGGATTTTTAATCAACATATTTAACAGTCTCTCAAACAAGCATGGCCTAATGCTATAGTATAAAATTAACATAAAGCATATGAAAATTATCACTGAGATACTCCCAACTTTATCAGAGAAGTTTATAACATAAAAAGTAAATACCAAGGACAGGTTGTAACTAAAGCCACACAACATCTAGAATGCAAAATTAATACTGATTTCACATTACAAACTATTGCCTAAAGAAGCAAATTAAAATACTTCATTATTCCTCAGGTTATCAGCCATAATGCAGTGAATTGCTATAATAAAACAACTGTATTAAGAAAACTCCTGTAAGTTAAAACGGGATGCAAGAAATGTACCCTGTCTAAACTAGAGAATAAGCATTCTGCCTAGGCAAATTGCCATCTCCCTTTCTCCCACGATTTTTCATGCCCCTATGAGATCACAGAGATTATAACATATTAAAAGTGGAATGACAGACAAGTACATACATGTACCAAACATGTGACAGGAAAATAAGAATATACTTGAAATAAATGCAAAATTTCCATGCTACAAATGCCGTTTTAAGCAACTGTATGTTATTAATATGATTTCATCCACTTAGAAATTAAATTTCTGTGTACAAAATGCACACAAAATCCAAATTCATGATACCTGTAACTTACACATTTAACTGAGGTGGACCAGGTTTCACTTGCTTTACAGGAAAACTACTTTGAACGATGGTCCTTATGGCCCTACATAGGGAAGAAAATTAAGCAAAGTGTAATAAGCAGATTACATGCCTCAAAAATACCAGTTTATCATTTCAGATACATTATACCATTAGAATACATCTGTACTAGAGAGCACATCTAGTAATTAAGAAGTCTTCTTATGTTCATAAAAAGCTATAAGACAGCAACATTTTTACCTTTATAAGGTGACAGTTCAAACCACTACCTTGACAATTTTTTTGGGGAACAAAACCAGCTGTAGAATAGTTTTTCAGACTCAGCTCCTCACTACAACTTACCTACAGGTCACAAAATTATTACTGAGATTCTTTCTCCTTCTATGTACAAGTATATAGATAGAAGAAAACATTGCTTTATTCTATCATGGTTGTAAAATTACTGCCTTAAAGTACCTTACCATCTGTTGTAGAGTAGTATTGCCATTGCAGTGGTTGGGGGTAAGCTGGACAGATCTACATCCACATGTTTGGTTCCTGGGGGAACTTTGCTGATACACAGAAGTTCATTCAGTAGCATGTTCAATACAGGAACAGACAAGCTATTAAAAAAAGAGAGAATCAGAAACTTCATATAGTAATCCTACTTCTGGTATGCTTAAATAATATACACTACTACTCAAGTACTATATTATTACCTAACATCCCACAGAAGTAAGAGTAGTATGTTTATTTAGTATAATGAAATGCTCTGTATCAGATGGCATTCCAGATCAGGTGTGTAAAGCAGTTACCAGTACTAGCAGCATAAGTTAGACCCAAGTGGAAGGTTGCCCTGCCAGCTGAACTACTATGCACCACTGCATTAGTCCACGCAGACACATCTCCAGAATAATCCAGCCACCTGTAACAGCAGGTCCCAACTAGTAAATTCTTTTCAAAGTAGTCCCAGATCATACTTCCAGAAGGTAAACAACCACATTTCCATTGCAAATGGAATTTCACTCATGTAAAGGGAATGTTTCTCCATGCTACCATGGCTTATCTCCCTTTCTGCAGCAACCACTAGCAAACAGTGAAGACTAGGAACGGGAATAGAGCACTGCAGAGCACTGTAAATTGTACTATGTAAAATATACATTAGCTGGGGCAAAACCTTCCTTAATAAAATGACAAGGCACACAGGCTGGGCGGACTGCCTCACTCCAAGCTTTCAAAGTATAATTTAACACAACTGAAACATTATTACTAATTTTGACATTAATTAAAGTTAGATGTGGTCAGCTACTGTCAAAGTACCTTTAGTCTTGTGAAAAATTTACATTGTTTGCAACCAGCACTGAAAACAACCAGTGAAACTGCACTTTTAATAACAAAAGCCAGAACTCCTGTTTAACAAATTTTAGGTCTTGTGTTATATCAGACTCCAGATCTATTATCAAGCTATCATTTTAAACCAACAAACACTGTTCTTACTATGGTCCAGGAATCGTGTTTTCATTGGCAAGAATATAACATCATTCAACTGTTTATAACAGTGAAGTTTTAGAAAAAGGCTTGGCTTAAGCTGTTATTTTATTCCTTTCTGACTGCTCCTTTGGGTATAATCAATTAGAAATAAAACCATGTTCCTTAATTAAGAACAATCTTAGGCTTCATGAGCTAACAGAACAAGAACTCTAACTCTATAGAGGTGTTAAATTAGTAGTTGAAATTACTTCAGATTGAGTTTAAAAAAAAACTCCACATATGGACAAAACAATCCTGTCAAAACCCAGAATCAGCCCAGTAGTGTCACACAGCAGGGCTGATTTTTGAATTAGGATTATACCTGCAGTTAAATAAGGTACTAACTGCAGTGCTGGAGCGTGTCCAAAGAGCAATGAAACTGGTGAAGGGTCTAGAGAGTAAGTCTTACAAGGACTAGTTGAGGGAACTGGGTTTGTTTAGCCTGGAGAAATTATCACTCTACAACTGTGTGAAAGAAGGTTGTAGAGAGGTAGGTGTCGGTCTCTTCTACCAAGTAACAAACAATAAAATGAGAGGAAATGGCCTCAAGTTGCACCAGGGGAGGTTTAGATTGAATATTAGGAAAAATGTCTTCACCAAAAGGGCTGTCAAGCATTGGAACAGGCTGCCCAGGGAAGTGATTGAGTCACCACCTCTGCAATTATTTAAAAGATGTGTAGATGTGGAGCTTAGGGACGTGGCTTAGTGGTGGACTTGGCAGTGGTAGGTTAACAGCTGGATTGTATGGTCTTAAAGGTCTCTTCCAACCTAAATTATTCTATTCAAGTTACAACTGAGGCAATTATTACCCCACTAAGATTTTATGCTACTGAAGTGCAGCTCCCTAAAGCACTTCTGTCTTGGTTTGGGCTGAAATACAGTTAATATTCCTTTTTGGGAACTAGATGAGTGCTGTGTTTTGGATTTAGCTTTGGGTTTGGTATGAGGAGAATGCTGATAGCACACTGACGTTTTCAGCTGCTACTGAGACTCCAAGGACTCTCCGACTCTCCGTGTCCTGCCCGTGCGCAAGGGCACTGGAAGCAGGGAGGGAGCATGGACAGAGCACCAGACCCAAACTGGCCAATGAAATATTCCATATCATGGAACGTCATGCTCACTATATAGAGGAGGGGTGGTTGAGAAGGAGCTCTCTCGTTTCCAGGATTGTGATTGCGGGATCTTGGTATCTCGGGGTCGCTGGCCGGGAACGGGCTGGGTATTGGTTAGTGGGTGGTGAGCAACTACATTGTGCATTGCCCGTTTATATTTTTTTCTATTATTGCCATTGTTCTCATTTTATTACCATTATTAAACTGTTCCTATCTCAGCCTGTGAGTCTCCCTTTACCCCTCTAATTCCCTCCCCCATTCCCAGGTGGGGAGAGGCAAGGGTGGGTGACCAGCTGTGGTGGTTGACTGCCGACCAGGCTCAAACCATGACAACTTAGCACCGTCAGAGTAAAAAAGTTCCCAACTGTTCTACCTCATCAGACCACTCAGCAGCTGGAATTATCTGGGTTAAAAAATTCAAAGGAAAAAATGTGTGAAAGGCAAAACGCAAAGGTGGAGTTTGTCTCTTTCAACCACAGTCAGTTCAGTGATCTAGTTTGTAGATGTATGGAGTTCTTTACATCAACAAAATTGGAACAAGACCTCCAACTTCGAGCATGTTAGAATAGGGAAACTTAAACTAGTTCTGTAACTGAAAATTAATCTTTATGCAGTTTAGATGTGCACATCATAATGTCTAAGACCCACTATTCTTCCTCTCTCTAAATTATAAACAGTACTGATTTGCTCACAGACACTGCCTTTATCAAAACGCTTTTTTAACTGACAGATGAAATCAAAACTTTAGTTGTCACACCCAAGATTCTTCTTAATATAAGGAAGATACTGTCTGAAAATTGAGCAAGACAGATTTCCATTTGTTAAAATAAAGATATCAAGCCACTTCAGTTTAATAATTTCAGCATGAAGATGTACAGACTATACCTTTTCTCCAATACATCCAAATCCCACTTCAGATGAGCAGCAACTTTAAGAGCAAGAAGTTTTAAAATGCGGTTTCTTTTGTTATCAGGTGGTGGCTGGACTTGGTTCTGTTCATTCACTGATGGTTTTGAAGCTTGTTCCAAAAACTGGACAATCAGCTGTACAGGTGGTGGATCTGCAAAAAACAGAGCCACTCTTCAAATTATTTGTAAAGCCAGAAATTAAGTTCTTATTGCAGCTATGAACAGGGATTTTATCTCATCATTTAGAAGGCTGACATTGTCACCTGGCAGATTTTAATCCCAAAGGTTGTATTGTTTATACCGACTCAGATCACACTACTAATATATCTTTGTTTAACCTTCAAGTTTACTTGACCATGGTAACCACACTCTCATACCTCTATTTATTTTCACTATTCTGTATTAATTATGTTTCAGTACTTGCATCTACAGAAAATAAATATTGGATACTGAAAACACAAGTTAGCTGTTATAAAAATATATACCTACTTGTAATCCTCCTCTGTATTTTAAAATATATTTACAATGAACTGCTGGTACTTCTGAATACATTTAGAAAATACCTTCAGACTGATCTAAAAAAAAGAGTGCCTCCTAATCTCTCCTTTACAATAAGACAGTCTTCTCCGGTACCTTTGAGCTGTTTTGAAAAACTGAAGCTGAATCGTAACTACGACACTCTCACTGAATTTTGTGAAACATATAAGTAGTATTAATCATTATTTTTAATTGCAAAAACAGCAGTGTAAGATCCAAGAACAAAGATATAGCCTGACTATGCTTAAATTTACTTTTTTTAGAGAGAACACTGTCCCAGGTTTTTGTGTTTCCTCCACTCACTTGTAGAATTTGGGTACTGAAAAAGACGATTCCCACTTATGATTGTCAAAAGGTCAACTACTTTTAAATACGGTCACGTTCTTATAATACATCAAACTAAGCTTCTATTCATTCCAGGTCTACGAAGACTGAGAAATTTCAGCACTGAGCTTTCAGGAGGACTCTAGCTTCTGGCGCTAGCAAGACTTTAGTAGGAGAAAACCAGCTGCAAATTGTAATGATTTTTACAAACCGCACTTCGCATTGCAAAAATAAGCAGCTTGTAACATTTCCGCAAGCAAAGTTCACGTATGCAAAAGGAAAAGCGATCTGCCACACAGATAAGGTGGAGAAATTATTAAATAGAAACAGTTAATGTAAACCAAGGAAAATGCGTTCTCGTTTGCGCTAACCAAGGCTGCAGAGCCGCGATGCCCGCCCGCTGTGCCGCCCTCTGCACCGCGACTGCCCTCCCTCGGAGCCGCCAGCACCGCAGCGCACAACCCTCGCCGGGCGGGGGCTCGCCGGCCACCGCCGCACCTGCCCCGGGGGCACGGCAGCGGCGAGGGAGGGGGGAGCGGGGGGGAGCGGGGGGGAGCGGGGGAGGGCGGGCGGGAGGCGGCAGCGCCCGCGGCAGGCCCCGGGAGGCAACGGCGGAGCTGCAGGCCGCAGCGGCGAGAGGAGGGACCCGCAGGGAAACGAGCGAGCGCTCCCACCCCCCCCCGGGGGGGCCGTGAGGGGCCGGGGAGCGGCGCCAGGCCGCGCCCAAAGCCAAGGGGGACCCACCGGGAGACGGCTTCTGCAGGTGCTGCTCCAGCAGCGCCTCCTCCAGCAGGAACTCGAACCAGGAGGTCTGCGGCGGCGTGCAAGGCCGGCTGGAGGTGGCAGCCTCCCGGTCCGCCGCTTCCGCGCTCATGGCTGCCGCCTGCCCCGAAGGGACCCGCCGCGATCGGACTGGGCCCCGGCCCCGGCCCCAGCGGCGGCGACAAGATGGCCGCCCGCCACCGCCCCTCTCCTTCACGCAGGCGGAGGGGCGTGGCTCCGAGCGGCTCCGCCCCTCTCCCCTGCCGATAGGGCTGCCGGGGAGGCTGAGGCTCCACCCACCGCGGCGGGGAGGGACGGGGGCGGCGGTGGTCGCGCGCTCGGGGCTCGGCGCAGTCACCGCGCCCGTCGGCCCCGTTTTAGCTGCCGCGGGGGTCGCGGCTGGGCGTACGGGGGGACAGGGTGGAAGAACAGCGTAGCTCCTCGCCCCCCCCCACCCCCGCACCACTCAGCCTTCCCTTCGCCTGCTGTCCGCCGTGGCCGTGTCCCCATGGCGGCATCCCCCGTGAGAACCGAGGCCCAGCCCCGCCCGGAGAGGTGGCGCTTGCCACCCACCCTCACAGCCACACGGCTCGGAAATCTTCCCTTGCCTTACCTCCCTGCCACTTCCCTTCTCCTCCTGCTCCTTACACAACGGTCGATACATTTTTGAATTTGTGGTGACTAACGATTATCTAGAGGAGAGGACAAGAAGGGAGCGCTCAGAGCTGGGCCCTAATGGTGGTCAGAGCTGGCCTCCCACAGCTCAGCCAAGGGTAAAGTGGCTAATCCTCCACCCTCCTGCCCGCACACACCTTAATGCCTTCTGAAAAGGCAAAGAAATTAAGACCTTGATCCCTGAGGAAGGGCAGAATCAAAGGAAGTGACAGAAGCAGCTAGTTCCTTCTTCCACTGTTAGGAAGACGTCCACATTTCCATTGCCCATGTCTGTCTATGCCACTCTAAGCTGCAACTAACCAGGAGCTGGTTCTCAAGCTTTTCAGAGGTCCCTGTTCCTAGGATGTCAATGCCCGAGGTGCAAGCAGGATGACTAGCAGGAGCTTTTAACTATTTCAGTCATCTGGCTGATTTTCATAACTATTTTACCAAGAAAAGAGTTCACAAAGGCTGCACAGCAAGTTTTCAATGTAGATATACAATGCAAGTCTTTTGCCCCGGTCATCGCTGTAAGCAAACAGGCTGTTTTTCCTTTCCTACTCATATACTCAACAGTTACAACTTCTGCAGCAAGCAAAACAGGGGATACTGCATCAAACCTGTGCCCGGTGTGTCCCTGCCTCAGTCCATTCAACTATGTAGCTGGACAGCCATAAACATTCTGCATTTTGCTATAAGTGACCCAAGGAGGCAGAAGAACTTCCCTCTTTCTCATCTTCCATGAGGACAGAAGGCCATTACATGTCCTGACTACAACGCAATTTGTTATCTTCTGTTGTGCATGTTACTTGCTCTTTTCAGTTACTTGAGGCAAAAAAAATAACTACTGCTTCAACTTTCCTGAGTTGTTTAATGCATCCATATGCAAAATGTTCAGTTTCCAAACATGAATTACAAAATAATCCTCTGGGAGATCATAGTTGGCTTGTTAGCATTATTTGTAGCACCTTGTTCAAATTAGTCTCTTTTGGAAGAGACAGTTTACCAATTATTATGCAAAGCTTTATTTGATACCGAGTTCAGAAGAGGCAACTCAATAAAAAGCAATAAAAATGTATATGCACTTCATGAAAATGTTCTAAGAGTTCAAGACTTTGAACAGTTGCCTTACTGAAGTTCTGGGGTTCAGCAGTTTTCATTTGCAACAGCAACATACGTAATATCCCCAGATGTAAGAGATTTTGTATTTTATTGCCACGCCATGCATCTTCAGAAAAGATGAAAAATTTACATTAAGCAAGATGTGGCTATATGTTAATATAGCTTCCATATTTACTTTTTATTACTTTGTAAGAACAATCGATACCCAGCCATGTGAGACTTTGACATGAAGGAGTGGCTCTTTGCTCCAAATCACACTAATAAATATTGCTATTTTAGTATCATTTATATAAATAATTTTATGGAATGAATGCAGATTGTTTTCTTCAGTTCACATGGTGTTTTTGTTCAATCAATTTTCAGTGTAAATGATACTTTTTCTAATAGTATCAAAATCTTCCTTCTAGGTACAAAACTAATTTATATTTGCATTTTTTATGCCAAGTAAAATGATGACTAGTGATGAAAGATCTTATTTTAAAACAGTATTTATAAATCAAAGGAAGTGTCAAGACTTCAATAAAAAACACAGCTCGAGTCTCATGTTGTACTGGTAATTAAAAAAAAATAATTAGAAAACAGTTTAAAAAATCCTTAACACGTCAGAGCTTTCAAGCACCCTGTAAGCACTCATTAACATTCACACACCACCCCATCCATTGGGAGCTGCCCCTGTTTCAGAGGTAAGAGAGAAAGGGAAAGAACAAGGTGATTTACCCATGGTCACAGAGGTGAGTGTTCAAGTCAATTTTAGATTTCAGAAGCTCCTGACTCCCTTTCCATGCTCAAACCACAGTCCTTTTTTTGGAGAGTGAGAGTAGGAAAAGGGGAACAGGGTATGTTTCACATGTTTTCTTTTTTGAGGATCCCAGTTTTTACAGTGCCTGTCCTGACTGAAAGAGTTCCGTTCTAACTTTTGCCTGGATGCCTTTCTAGCTTCTCTTCACACCTGCTACCGGCTCTTCTGTTTTCCAGCTGCAGACTTTGAAGAAAGGTTCTATGTGAAAAGCAAAGTTGGAGATAAAACCTTACTGAACAGAAACTTTCCCCAGGTCTTACAACCACTTTTAAGAGTGTAAAGTTGTCACACCAGCAAAGTGCTATTCACAGTTAAAATCTTTCCACTCTCTTCCCCTCTTTACAGGTAAGTAGAAAAAGGCTCAGACAGAAAAAGTCTCACACAGTTGGTCAGCCTGTAATAGTGAGTGAAGTGGTATGTGTGATGTCAAGGGAGATTACAGTTTAGGACAGTAAGACAAAAGCTGACAAGAAAACCAGAAATTTAAAATGTTTTATATTTAACATTTGTAATAATTATGTCACAGTCTAAAATAAATGCAATTAAAAAAAAAAATGTCCTACCCATTGTTACCCACCTGATAGGATTCATATTAATACTAGGGAGAAATAATTCAAGTTCTTGCATCCAGGATCATTCTAGTAAGTCACTGTAGTCTACACAAATAAAAAAGGATATCATAATGCTATTCTACACAAATCCTACATTCCAAAGGTTTCAAGAAAATTCATGCTTTAAAAGTCTTTGCACTTCTACCATTAAATAGCTGTTTGTACAGTGCATATAAAAAGTCTATTCAGATTATCACTCCTGGGAAAAGTGAGTATATCATACTACTGTAACTAAAAACTTGCATCAGGTAAGTTACTTGATGTACCTTATATATGAAAAGGGGCATTTTTAAAAGCAGTGTCCATACATCATGGCAATGGGGCAAGTTCCTTTAACTCTGGTTACAAATGTTCATTTGAGACCTCGTAGAGTTCTTTAAGCTTGTCAAACTTTGACCCCAACTCTTGGATGCAGTCATAATTTAGATCTTCATCACCACTAATGGAGTCTAAGGAACTAAGGCTCCCTGCTAGAGAGCATTGCCCTTCTAAGCAATAAAAATGAATAGTGTCAGCTGGAAGATTCTGTAGATCGTTGTCTGCATCCCAGATGATTTGAGAAACATATTCCTTGAAGTCTGGAATGCTGGTAACAGCTGATGTTGATTGTTTCGGATGTGCATGTTTTGGGAGTGAGTCTCTTTTTGGGCCAGTGGGTGTCCTGGAGTGTGGAGCAGCTGCTCTCAAGGAGAAGTGGGGAACGGTATGGAGAGGTTTCTTCAGTTCATCTATATTGTAAGCATTCTGGAAAAAAAAAGTGCAAATATCAGAGAGAAACAACACAAAAAGAAACAGGTTCTAAAAAAGGTTTTAAAATTCAATGCAACACAAAACTGGATTCTGTGAGTTTTCTACAAGCTGAAGAGAGGCCCTAGTTCAGAGGATAGCAAATCCCTTTGTGTAACGAGTCTTAAGCTAAAGCAAGAATGCTGTATCCCGAGCTGCCTCCTCAAAGGCAGCCACATATGACCAGCATTGTGAAAGGCACAGATTGGGCTGAAATAGAAGCTTCCTACTCATGAGTACTTCAGGTTAAAAAAAAAAAAAAAAAAGCAGCCAATTGGATAAGGACACTAAGTTAAATAAAAAGTCTGGGAAATGAAGGTGAGGAGAGGTTAGATTTGCAAAGACCGGACTGAAGCTGCACCATACCTGGTCACGTTCTCCACCTCCTTCTTCATTGTAATTGAAGACATTTTCTCTAACATTCTCCCAGCTTTCATGCTCTTCAGGAATGTGGTAAATTCCTCCTTTCCGAAACCCTGAACTTCCCCACTGACTCCACACCGTATAGGAGACCAAGAGTGCTGGAAGAAATAAGGATACATATATGTTATATGATGTGACAAAGTATGATGCGTGATAAACAAGTAGCTATATGACTCCTGAGATATTAAATCAACTCTTAATTTGACAAGCAAATTTCCAGGTAAGAAATGTGTAATTGTTAATATACAAACAACTTATATTCAGGAATGTAAAGAATCATCTATCTATATTACATCATAAACTTCATTAAAAGGGTATTTTACTTACCTAAAGGAATCCATTTAAATAGAAGGCATTTTGGCCAATCTCTGGCCTTTCACCAATCCTGAGTAAATAAGATACCCAAAGTAAGTAAAACACTGTTTTAATGAAGGTTACAAGTGTAATATAATCATGGAGTCTTTACTATTCTGAGATGTGGATGCAGTTTATAAATATGAAAACAGTTTTATGGCGTTACTAACTTTTCAGCCAAAGTGCACCTGAAACCAGACACACTGCGAACATCTCTTTCTGCCCCCCACTCTTAATGAGGCTTGCCTTGTTAAGATCACAAACTTTCTAGAGGAAGATCTCTTCCTTCCTAATATGTGAATAGCAGGTACTAGCCATAGGTTCTACCTATTATAAATGTAAGGGCTCAGGGCAGGTGGGAGTTTCAGAGGAATGTGGCTTCACACAGATTTGCACACACATATGCAAAGCTCTTACTTAAGGAGGATTGAAAATAAGTGATTCTAAAAGAAGTCTTAAATTTGATTGAACTGACTTAGAA